ATTTTTAAAAATTTAAATATTTTTTTTTGTCAAAAGAGAAATTAAAAGATTTTATTACTAAAATTGATAGGAAACAATCCCATTGACCTCAAAATGAATCAAAAGATAAAAATTACTCTAAAGACTAAAGAGTTTATTGGCTGTAGCATAAGTGGCCAATGAATTAGCTACATAATTTCTTTCATAGAATACATGCCAGATCTTACAATTATCCAAAATAAACATTAGATGTAAAATATTCTTACTAATATTCAAAATTCATCCTAGAGCAGGAGAATGATTGCTTACTATATCCACCATCATCAAAGAATCTATCTCGATATGAACTCGATAAAAATCATCTTTATAAGTCAAGCATAACTCTTCCAAAATAATTTTTAATTTTTGCCTCACAATAATTATTGTCTCGCTTTTGAAGGTATTTACAATCCAAAACAATAATAGATGCATCATCATGTCTAACAACCAAGCCAAGAATCATCATAATTTAATTTAATCCAATTGGAAATATACCTTCATTCTAGACATAATGGGTAGCTACCAGAAACATCACAACTCATCCCACACATCCTATTAGGCACATCCACATTCAATTAACATATCCCTCTCTTATTTATACAAATGAGAAGGGAGGATTTCCCTTAATAGAATAGAGGATTTTTCTCAACAGAATAAACATATTTCCTCGTATAGTCGGAGAAATCTGCTATCAAAAATTCAGAAGCAATTAAGAATTTCAATATTTATGAGAAAATAATTCAGAGACCATGTTAGACTCGTATGTTATGTTAACATTAATAAAAGTAGGCTTTAGATTTAACAGCGATATAAAAAATCTAAAGATTAGAAAGAATGGATGTACAAGAACCAAGAGCAGTAAATATCATAAAACTATGTCTAAGTTTGTTCAAAGCCTTACCAAAAAACCTCAAGTCCAACTGTACTTACCATGCATAGATTAAATTCTAGGGATCAAGGTGACCATACTTAGCCTCGACGATACTAATCCAAATTGAATCAACATCATTAAAATGTTTTATACGTTTAGCATGTAAAACAAATTTAATTAAATGAAGATCATCTATACCCAAAATCACCCGTAGCTTTTGGGGGCACAAACCATCTCACAAGATAACAAATGAAGACTACGAGAGTGGTCTGCTGTATACTAAAGAAACTATCTAATAATATGATTAATACCTTCAAGAATAGAATTAGGAATCCAACAAGCACTAAAAGTATGCAAGGGAAGCAAATAGAGCACAGAGTTAAACAAGAGTAATGCACTCAGCTGGGATAACAAGTTAGTTTTGTAAGTGCTTAATCTATTTCTAACATTTTGAGTAGAATGCTCAAGTACTCAATTAGGATCGTAACGAGGAGCACTGAAGGATAGGATCCCAAATACTTGAAAGGAAATTTACCTTCCTTGAAGGATCCCAATTAGGAATTTCGAAAGATTGTTTATGTATTGTGTGCTTTCATAATAAAACTTTAGACTCTCGTTAGATAAATAAATATTAAATGGTGGACTAAACCACAATCCAAATGGATCATTGAGGGTGACCTCAATATTAAGTCAGCTTCATCACTCTAATCATATCACCATCTTCGGATTAATGGCAATTTTGTTCAAGATCATAGTCTTAATACTAATGAGTTTATCACTTTTTATTTTTAGCTTTGGAACGCTAAACCATCCCAACCAAACTACCCTTTTGTCTTGGCTTATTCCAACTGATTGGGGTATCTCTATTTAGGAGAGCAATCAACTCATTTCTTGTTTCACAATCAAAGAGATTTTTGAAACTATTTGTTATTTTGGCCTAATGATTATAGTTGAGTTTTATAAGTACCATCGAGATATTCTGCCTAATGATTATAGTTCAGTGAACTTAGAATCATTAAATCCTCACAAACAATCTTTAGATTCTAATACAGAAATATTATGTTGAGCACTAGCTAAAGAATCCTCAACATCACCAAGCTTGTGCTTATTCTAATAAGAAAGCAAATGACAAAGATTATGTAGGTTAGTAGAGAAGATCTAAAGAGGAGCACTACCATTAGAACCCCAAGTATTGCGAAGAATATCTGTGACTTCATTATACCCACTCTAAAAGTTTTGAAATTTAAAATTATAAAGAAAATAATAAACAGAAGATAATGAACAAAAAAGAAGCATCCAACAATTATTAGCAAGAGTATGATCTAACCTATCCTAGATTTGAACAGATCCTTTATGGTTATTACAAAGTGTTCTTGGGGTTGGAAAAACCTAGATTTAAAAGATGAGCCATGTCAACAAATGATTGAAATCCTCGAACAAACCAGAAACATAAAAAACAAAATCTCCACGTTTATCTTAGAGAATATAATTAAAATCACTGATGAGAAACCATGAAATACAAGTCATGTCAAGCATAGAAAAGTATTCCCATAATATGTCACTAAGGATTTACTAATATACAGCCGTAAGCAACCATTGATTGCTGTTGGTGTATTGAACAACCACATTGCACATATTGAGATTGCATAGAAAGCACATGAGCAAATACTCACCAACTGTTTCAAGCAACAAGAACACTGCCCCAACGCTCGAATTGCAGGCTACGCATCCCCTGTCCAATTTTTTCCTAACCTTCGGATGAACCTCACACAATATTCCTTAGAAGCCTGGATTTCCTGTAAAATCAAAGAATCTACATGGTCAGATCGAATCATATTTTGAATACAGTCACTCACATGCCTTCTTCGCAGCCCACGACAATTCTAGTTAATTATTTTTATGGCATAAAAGGTTGCAAAGGTGTGGTCAAGGGAAGGGCCATCGTCAGCCAACATAAACAAGCGAGGAGGAGGGGCATCTTTGCCATAGTAGGCTTCGCCACAGCGACCTTCTTGACACGGTTAGTTTCCTTAACCACAAGTTGAGTCTTTTTCTGCCTAGCCTTAGGCTTAAGCAAGGCGGCGACCTCCTTGACTTTAGCGCGAGCTGCCGCTCGGGTGGAGACATTCTTAGCACAAGTTTTTCCTTGATCCTACTACTCAAAGGGTAAGCCAAGCATTTGTACCCACACCGGGGCAGCATGCATCGGTTCCAACAGAGGCTGGAAATCCAATCGCCAAGGCATAAGATGCAAGAGTTCACCTCGGATGGACCAAGGAGCATTATTGAGCACCTTCAAGATATCTTCCTACGAAGAAAATATTCTATGGGAGGAGGACGACGTAAAAAACGACTAACTAAACTAAACTTCCAATGCTCACGCCAATTTTCCAAATTCTCGTCGTCAAAACAAACGAAATCCGCAGACGAATTAATGATCCGATCAAAATGAGAGTGAGAAAGAAACCAACTTTCGAACTAGCAGAGGGTGTTTCAGAGATTCCCTTAGCCCATGTAAGGGGAGCGGATCCAACCTGTTTGTTGCGACTATCCAAACCCTGCTTGGAAACGGGATGCCTCATAGGAGCAGGAGCAATACCAGCATTGTCAACCATGAGCACGGTGATGCCTGTGGAAGGGAGCACAAAAGAAGGTGAAGAGAAAGAAGAGTTGTGGAAGAGGGTAAGTGAGCGCCGGTAGAGAGGAAGAGGAAGGCGACGGGGTTTCCCCCCAAGAAGAATCTCTTTCCGTTTCTTTGTACCCCTTCTTTACTAGCACCTTCCATTGAGTGTCTTTTACTTTCGCTAAATTTAGACTAGCAATTGATAATAATCACTATAAATGATGGTTAATATTGATTATATATATATATATATATATGTATATATATACATATATATATATATAATCCAAATATTGATAAGAGATATATGCATTCTATCGAAAAAAAACCCATTATATTTACTTTTTAGCCCCCCATATTCGTTTTTATCCTAGGGGCACATTTTCAACGTGGACGAAAATAATCTCAATGTTTTAGTAAAATAATATGATTATATATGATATTCAAAAAAATAATTAATCATTATAAAATTTAAAAAATAATACTAATCATCTTAGAATAATTAGAATATAATTCTAATATGATTAGTACTTAAAAATATATATAATAATTAATTATCAAAATAAAATTTTTTAAATACTATTATTTAGATAAAATATACAAATATTTTTGTCCAAATAAAAAGTTCACTTTTTCCCGATAAAATGTAGTTAAATATGCTATAAAATAGGGTTAATTATAAATTATCACTGTGAGTAACTATTTTCACTATCTCATTCTTTATATTTTAAATAGTTACATCGAGATTTTTATATTTATAAAAGTTAAAAATTTAATCTAGTTTCTTCTCGTATTGTCTACTCTGTTTACAAAAATATCATACGTATTCATTGATAAATTGAAATGAGATAAAATTAGTATATGCTCAATGATAAATTCTATGATATTTTTTAATAAAATCGATAATATGAGAAAAAATTAAATTAAATATTTTTTATAAATATAAAAATGTAAATATAAATTTTACAAATATAAAGATGAAGATAATAAAGATTACTAACTATTTAAATAATAATATGTAATCAGCCCTACAAAAAAAAAAAAAAAAAAGGGTTATCCCTCCACAAGCCCACCATCTTTGAAGTTGGAAGGCGGGCTTCTTCGCTGCCTCACCGTCTTTAGTTCTTCCTTCCTCCCTCATCCTCGTTACCCTCCCAAGACCAAACCTCTCGCTACTTCCCTCTCTTCTTTGACGCCCCTTCCTCGCTTCGACTTAACGCTCTCCTCACATGCCGCTTCCCTGAAGTCGGCCAGCGGCGCCCACGCGGCGAAGCATCCGCCGCCTGCAACGAAGAGGAAGAATTCCGGGAAGACGAGGGCTCCGGAGAAGCCACCCGCCGAATGCGATGGATCGGCGTAGCCATCCTTCCCCGCTGCCGAAGCCGCCCGCTGGATTCTTGCTCGACCAGCACGGGAGGGTCCTCCTGGCCGCCTCGAAGCGGATCGCCACCATCGTAAGCAAATTTTGAACGGTTTTCTTTCCTTCATGGCGTCTGTTTGTTTGTCCGATCGGCGCGGACTTTATCTGGACATTGTTGTGGACTCGAATCTTGATATGGCTATTAGGTTATAGATTTATGCTTCCGTGATGGCCAAAATTCGTTCTTGAATTAGATTAACAGTGAGCCCAAGCAGTGGCGGGAAACCTAATTGGATAGATTTTGCAAATCTTCGTTTCAGCGAGCTCAAACTAGGGTTTGTACGTCGTAGGGTAACTGTTGATGCTTACACTGTGTCCTGTACCTTCCTTCTACTCTACAGCGATTATTGCACTGAAAAGCATGACTTTGATTCCTTTTCATGACCAGATAAAGAGGTACTTATTTTCCTGTGACATATTTGCTGGTTGATGCTTCCAATAATCTGCCCTTAGAATGTGTAATTAGGAGAGTGTTCCAAAGTTCTAAAGGGGATGAATGCATGCTGCTCTGCCCAGTGGATACGTATGTGTTCAACATTTTGAGTACTGGGTTCCTTCTTGCTGCAACTATTATATTATAAGTCGTTATCTTCCTGGGCAGGCCCATACAAATATTGAAGAGCACAAACTTCAGTGGCTGGTCAGCAGTATGTGTCATATTCTTATATTTTCATTTACTTGTGTTTTCGGTATTACTAATCTTGCTACTGAAGTAAATTCATAGTTGAAGCTCTTAATGTTGATTGATTGGAATTGCATTTGGACTTTTCGATTGTGTTCCTATTTCTGATCCTCTTTTTAATTTAGTACATAGCTTTTCTTCTACACAGGTTGGATGGGGTTAGATCAGTAATGAAAATTTCTTTTCTAATATTACGGTAGTCAGTAGGCTCAGGTTAATTACTGGCACATCAGAAATTAAGGACCATAGAAGGCCACAGGAACATCATGGTCCATGTGTTTGAAGTAGCTTTTCTATCTAAAGTGTCTTAGCTAAGCATGTGGTCTTTCACCACAAGATCCTCATAAAGCATGGGGTCTTTCAGTATCAAGATATCTTGGTCGTAACTTTTACCAAGTCAGTGCAGGCTAAAATATCTATTTTTACTCCTTTGCAACCACAAATGAAGTACTTTTAGGTAATAACTTTACGCAAAGCAAAACTTATGGTTTTCTACTTTCAAAACATGTAGAATTTTTAGATGTTGCTTATGGTTATAAGTTCATGCATCATCCTTTGTGCATAAGATTATCATGTATATTTGCTGCTAAGGCTTTTTAAAATAAAACTCAAGGATCATGAAGAAGAATTGCAATGTTTTGGTTTGTTAAACCAACCTCTCTCTCTCTCTCTCTCTTCCTCTCCTTCCCATCTACGTTTATTAATACACACAAATGGAGAAAAAGGAAAATCCAGAATTCCTAGATGCATTGCTCTACCTTTAACATGTTTAAAGTCTATATTAGTGTACTTTGTGAGTTTCTTTTTCAGGTTATCCCTGCTGCTGCACATGCCCTTGCCAAAATCCATATGCATCTTGTATTCAGTGTGTTAGGACAACAGATTTTTGATTTTTCTTCCCTTTCAGGTTTTGTTACTCTGAAGAAGACGTACTGGAGTTTGGCACTGATAGTTCTTCTGTTGGATATCTCTCTATGAAAATGATTTTTGATTTTTCTTATCTATTTGTTTATGTGAAAATGGGTTCCTTCAAATAATTTGTTCTAGATAATATGATAAATGTGACTGAAAATTATCTATCCATAATTATTGATTGTTAAAAGAACTAAATCTTTACCTGTTTTTGTTTGGAAACAAGTCACTAAAAATCATTACTTATTGATATACCTGAAACTAGGTTATTACTAGGGGAGTATTTTGTGCATTGAAGGTATTTGATTGAATATTTCTTTTACTTCTTGATTTTTTAGTTGTCAGTCACTATAATTTACTATGTGTTGCCTTTTATTTGAATCAGCCATGCAGGGCTAGGTCAAATCAGTTGTTAGGTCTTTTAGATTCACCTTATTGTGTAATTTTTTTTGCATCTCTTAATGAGAAACCAATGCCCTTAAAGATTTTGCGTGTTTAAAGTTTGTTTTTTGTTGACTTAACAAATATGTATTGATATTTGGAGGAAATACTTTGTATCGTCTAAACAGTTGTATCATCTATGTTACATGGAGTCTTATTAAACCTTTAAACATGGACATCTGATTTATGTAAACTGCTTCCATAGCCTTAACCTCTGTCTCCAATTTACTTCTTGGGATACCGTTATACTCTTGTGCTGAATATGATTAAAATGAGCATTATAGAACTGTGTTATCTCATTTCTGTAGTCAGTATATTCTGTAATGGTAAGTTCTGTCCTATGTTGCGTAGAAAAAAAAATAACGTGTTATAGTCTGGATGGTTTTAGGCATCTTCAATCAGTTAGATCCACTTCAACTTGACATTACCCAATTCCTCTTCAACATCCAGTTTTGATGAAGGTTGCACTGTCCTTTGGTGTATTTGTTTTAAGGATTTTACTTTGTTGCCATCGTATATGATTTCTATAGCTGTATTTTATTGCATTGGAGGTATAAGATTTTCCAGTTCCATAAATTATGTCAGTAACATTAATTTATATATTGGGAAAATGTGGCACATAGCACTTTCTTAACTATAATCAGTTTGCATGTTTCAGTTATGTGATCTTTTTCTTTAGTTTTGATAGATGTTTATGCTTTATCATCTGTCATTTTAAGAGTAATGTCTATCCTTCAAATTTTTGTTTCAATGACAACAATGATTTTGATTCTTCAGATGATGGTGAAAATATTGAAGGATTGCCCAGTGAAGGTGTTGAGATAACTTGCTTCAATTTGGTGAGATAACTAGTAAGTTACATGATCTTCCTAGTATGATGTTCTACTACTGTAGCTAAAGTTTCAGCAGACAGCAAATGGGTAATTTGTTGTATCCAAAGGTCAGTCAGAATCTGATAGGGACCTGTATTCAGAACCTGGGTTTGTCCTCTTAGTTTTCCATTAATTTTATTTAAACTGATGGTTTGCGGTTTGCACAGCTAGGGTCTGTTAGACTTTAATAGGTTTGCGTAGTTTGGTCTTAGTGATGTTGACAGATTGGATTGAGATTGTTAGTTTCTTTTTGCTAAGAATAATACTTTAATAGTACAATTTGTGCATACACACCCCAAGCACCTCATTGACATGCACCCACCATTCTCCCATTAATGCTTACTATATAAAAGGGCGAGCCCAGCGGATGTGGCTCCCGCTAATGCTTGATTATATACATGTTCTTACATGTACAGATATATACAGTAAATTGGCTGAATTGGAATGTACATCAAATTCTTTTCAAATGACTTTAATCAGTTGGGATCAAGGGGGATCTGCTAGATTTGGAGTGATCAGCTGGCATTGAATTAAATTGTGAATAACTAATCAATCCACTAGGATTAGCCAAAAATCCATCAATCAGTTTGATGAGCCAAAATGGCTTATGCCATTAATCTCTTGAAGGTTATTGGTGTTGGACTCAACCAGATTTGCTGGATTGAATCGAGGCATGCCAATCTTGAGAATTATGATTCTGCTGCTAGGAGTCCACTGGGTAGTTCTGATTGTAAGCTAAATCAACCTTTGTTGAAGACCTTTGAATAGCCTCATCTATGTTAATTTCAGAGTAAGGAATTATTTAGGCTTTTTATCTTCATGGTTGATACCCCTCTTCTTCTGGCACCACAAAACAAGAAAACTCAAGAAAACACTGCTAAATAATAAATGAATTGTAGAATAAGAGAGGTTTGGATGAGTTGGTATATGATTTAGGGATGAGTATAGGTATGGATCATATGGTTCGAGTATGATTCTGTTAATGCTCTTCAAGCCATGTAAATGGGTTTTGTTTTTCTTTTTTTTTGACTCTGTGCTAACTTATGGAATTTTTGGTTGTACTGTGAGGTTGTTTAGATAATTTCTTGTTTCAAACATCACATTATAATTTTATGTTCATGTGATTCGATCCGTAGGATGGTGCACATTACATGATCTACACACCATCTGATCCACTTCTCTTTGTTGCTGTCAAGGTACATTGCCAATTTTCTTTTTGTTTATCCTCCAGATGAAAACATTCTTGATGTTTTTAAGATCAATGTCTGTAATATATCTGATATTTTTAGTTTCTTGTACAAGATTTACTAATAAATAAGAATAACAGTGATTTAATTCTGCAGGGTGAAAATGGTGTTCTCCAAATTGCTGACGATGCAAATGATTCATCTCTTTGAAATGGGTTTTGAATTCAGTATTCATTTATTGATTATGGTTATTCTGCATGCCTTTGATATATTAATCACTGTTTCTTGATTTAATTTTTCTGGATGTTGTGGCCCCTGGTTTATTTCAGGTTAGTTTGTTTGCTTCCTACTTTCAGATATTGCCTGTTAGATTGTATTGAGTTCTTGGATATTTTAGCCTTTATGTTTGTAGATCAGATGCTGATTTTTTTTTTCCCCTCGTAGACCAAGTTTCTTCTCGGGATCCCAGTTTGAGCTACATGTAACCTTTTTCTCTTGCATTTTGGAAAAAAGTTACTTTTTCTTCAATAAGTTATGTAGTTAGAATCATTAATCAGTGTTCCGATTATGGATTATATTGAAACCATGTCTGTTGTTATTTCAATAAGGAAACAGTTGTTTTGTTTATGCCCTATTCTTTTCCATGACCTGGAAATCAGGATCTGCTGGAGGACCCTGTTACCGTTGCTGCCAAAGATGAGGAGACAGAATTTAATGCTCTTGTGGTATGATTTACAGTAATTTTGTTGTGATTATTTCTCTATTATTTAGAATTCACATTGTCATAAACTTAGTTGGAATTGCTTATGCTCTGAGGCACTTTTACGTCATCTGTTTGTAAAGGGTCAGTTTAGTTACAACCTCGCTCAGGTCTCGAAAGACTTGTCAAAGAGCAAATTGAGTAGTTCGGAAACAAGCGACGGACAAATCTCGATGTTTCGCGAAGAGACTAAATACTTAGTGTGTAAGAGAGAAAAGAGAGAACGAAGAAAATAATGACTTTAGAAGACAAACAAACAGTTGCAAAGTCACAAATGACTATTTACTAGGTGTCGGGTGCGTTGACAAGTTCCTATAGGCTTAATGTGTGAACTTGTGAATCAAATCAACGCTCAAACACTATCTTAAACCCCCATGTGAAAACTAAATCATTTTGAGATAATTTTGTCCATTATGATGAGCAATTGTTTTGTAGTTCTATAAATTGTTCTTGTTCACAGTTTTCAAGCAAAGAGATATAAAAACAAGGTAAAAGAGATATACAGCAAACAAAAGCGACGAAATGCTCGTTGACGAAGGTGTTGCGGGGGTGTGATGATTGTCAATGACAACACATTGTCATTCGAGTTAATTGGCCTCTAGGTCTTGATAGAGAGATCAGGAGGCAACCTTCTCCGAAGAAAGCGCCTTTACCTTGTGCAATTTGACATGTTTAACTGAACCCCGTGAAAACTCTTTTGATGTGGTTGCTTACAAGCTTTTATGTTGTGTGTAGGAAGAGGAGGCTGCACTTCTTGAATCATTGTTGGGAGAAAGATGACAAACAGAGATCTTTTATGAGCTGATCGATTGGGAAAATGATGAGGAAGATTCTGTGTTATCATTTAGAAAAGAAGTTTCAAAAGATAAGTTGGCCTTTGTGCTACGAGGACTTGTTAAGAAAATGTTTAACAGTGTGTTATCTACATTTATGGAAAATTAGCCAACACAGACTTACTTTCTTTCCAATCTGCAATAGAGCGATATGGAATATCTTCATTTGTTGCCTTTGCAACTGAGTACCGTATCGTTAGATTTGTTCATGATAATGGATACATTGATCCCTGCACAACTGACATCAATTCTCTCTTTCTAAAGTCAGTGTGCCTTGAGTAGTTTTGGCTGCTTTGCCTCGACTAATCGTGCCTCAGCTAATCGTTCTCTGGAACCCAACCGGTTCACTACTATACTTGTTATTGGGAATATTTGAAGTGGGCAGGCATTTGAGTACTACTACATCAGCAAAGTGGACATCTAAGCACTGCATCAACACCGAGTCGGGCTCATAGTCAGTCTTGTGTGTCAGCTCCTGGTCATATTCAGTACGTCACCAAACAATAACAAATATTTGTAATCGTTGATGGTTATATATCTCATTCATGTAAGGTCGAAGATGTATTCTCTTTATCAAAAGAACTTTCAATACAAGTCATATGTTCTTTAAGCTAGATGTATTTTAACTTGAGCAATCGGAGATGTCTTGTCGAGAATACCTTAACCTAAGTTTTGCATGTTTAGATGATCGACTCTCACTTGCTTTCGATGTTGATTTGTGATGAAAATAGTCTCGAACCAATTTGCATTTGCAACACCAGCTAATTTAGCATAGAACTAAATTAGATATTGACAATTTGTACCCATATTAGTGTAAGTCAACTCTCACTTGCTTTTGACGTCGATTTGTGATGAAAGTAGTCTCAAACCAATTTGCATTTGCAACGTTTACTAATTTGGCATAGAACTAAATTAGATATTAACAATTTGCGCCCATATTATCATAAGAGAAACGAGTCAATAGTCAGCAAGAGCGCCCACTGGACGAGTCTTATCTCCTAGCTTATAACCTAGTATCGAGATTGGGATTAGGATGGCAAGGGTTTCTGAATCAACATCGGCTTTTAGATGTCTCTTTAATGACCAAGGGTTGGCCACTACTATGGTAAATCCATCATTAATAAATAATATTTCAAATGAAGCTTCCTTGTGTAACATAATAAGTACAAACCTGATGGGAACGATACAAACTAACATATTTACTATTATATGCATACATCATCTAGCATCATCAGTCAATATAGACATTTTAAAATTAATTTATTTTACAGTGTTAAATCCTTATAATATGACACTATTATTTAAAACTCAAACATCTTCAACTTTACAATTTCACTAAATTTTTATAGATGACTTTGTAATATTTTTATAAGTCAAAATCATATAATAACCTAGGCTTGTAATCATACGACTTACATAATATCTAATGTTTAGTTATGTTAGTTTTTTTTTATTTTATTCAGCATTAGCGAATATATAAAAGGCTTATAAGAGGCTTGATTAACCCATTTTGATTACCTATGGTAACTTTTAAGCATGTTGGGCTACGTCAAACCCTTTGTTACATCTTTAACTTGATAGTGCTAAATACAAGTGGGAGTGTTTTGAAAAGGATGAGATTGAATAAAAAGGGATAAGTTGCTCAATAAAGAGTTTGTTCAAAGTTCATAAAGGTGAGGAAAATTAACTCAAAAAATTCAATACTTACGCAATGACTTATACATGAATGATAGGCTATCTGTGACCATCTCAAGGTAATTGAAACTTGATGTCATGGATTATGAAAATTTTTTCTACAACATGTGATAGATACGTCCATAAGAGCTAAATTGTTCAGTAGGTTTTACACGTTTCCAAATATTATGAGGTACAACGAGGGACTATATTAGTGAATAGTCATAATTTAATAAGTGCATTCATAGTGACAGAATAATATAATTTTTTACAACAATGTAGAGTAGTCCAAGGAGATAGTGATTTTTAAAAATTTTAGAGAAAATATAGAAAGAGGATAATTACTCCAACAAGACAAATATATAGGAGAGATAAATCTCAATTCTTCAGTGGTAGATTCATGTATAATGAAGCACATATATTGAGGGAGGTATCTTAAGTTTGAAGTTTTGTAAAACTCAAAGGATCAAGTGAGTAATAAGGATTCATCACGTAATCTCACATAAGATAATGCATTGATTGACGCATCATGAGATTAAGTGAAAGAGCGACCGGAGGTAATATCAAACAAAGACACACTTTAAGCTTATGAGGAAATCGAGTTCAACGAAGGGTTGACACATGAAATGGTGGGCATGATGCATGAGAGACACCATCATCTTAATTCAAATCAAGGAGTGGAGGACTTCGGTGAAACTTAGTAAACTTGGTAAAGTACCTATGCCATGTGAAGGGAGTCAACTTAAAAGATATAACATGAAGCAAAGGCGTGAAGACAAATGTCAAGGATATGAACTCTTGTAGAGATAAGAGTGAGATTATGTCGTTTCTTAGTTTTCTCATTTTGATGGGGTGGACTCATCTTGTAAGGTGCAAAAGTCAAAGAGAACTTCGAGATACATGCACCTTAACTTAGTGAGGTAATTAACAAAGAGATTAGAACAAGAAGTTAACTCAATTTGTGAAGATAAATTTGGAGTTGAAATTCCTTAGCACAAGGCAAGATGACACAAAGACAGGTACTCCTAAAGAATATACAATAGTACTATCATTTAAGTTACTATAAAGGAAGCTATGTGCAATAAAGATTGTGTTAGGGGTAGAGACTCAGGATCTAGATAATGACACATCAACTATTAGTGAAGTCGATGGACTTTATGAGTTACTAAACGACAGACTATCTCAGAACTTTAATTCATCTACTAGTGACCTAAGTGTGGATCGACAAAGGTGTAAAACCCTACTCCTAATTTTATTCATATCACATGCATGATTAAAATAGTATGCCATCATATAATTTACTCATGCCATCAATAATAATATAATGAGAAAGTGGGCCAATTTGAACCATATATATCATAAAAAATTATCAAGTAATGGTAATACATATATGTTATTTGTATTTTTATTAGTATACTAGGTGGGTACTATGTAAAATACTTGGGCACCATTGAAGGTCAATTGCCAAAAAGGCAAACATAATCGGAGGAGGCATAGGCCCTACAATGTTTTGGCATAAACCACATGAAAATCACAATTTGAGTTCACCGTATAAAGATCATAGTACAATTGACCTATAGGCAACGCATTGCAATGGATCATGATGGAATAGTTCAAAATAATCTAACACACAAATTAAGTCTCATGAGGAATTTAATCATCAGGAGGGAAATGATTGGAGCTATTGGAAGCTTTGCTTCAATAGATAACATAACGATAAGAAGGGTTATAGGTTTAAGGAGTAAATGTCATTATACCACAAAGGTGAGATCTTCCGTGCATGCATCGAAGTTTATATTAGATGGTAAGGTCATGAGCATGAAGAAGTATTATAGTACCACAAAGGTAAGACTTTCGAGTGCAAGTATAAATTAATCATGTGAGGGACTTGACCATATAAATGTATGATTAAAGCTATTAGAGAGTAGATTGCTCAAGAGCTTATATTCGCTTGAGGGAGCTCAACAAGTAAGAGGATAAGGTCGAGTGAGTAAATGTTACTACTAAGGATACAAACGAGAATAGAATTAGCATGAAACCTATAACATGATGGCAGAGGCCATGCAAGAGAGTTATGTTGAATCTCAGATTTTGATAATGAAATCAATTAATAAGTTTATGATCTAATCTATATTTTGAGTGACACATGACTAGCTTCGATCAAGGAGAGGCAAATTGATTAAAGCAGTAAGAATCGAACATTGAGCCAAAGTGAATATGTCAAACAATTGGACGTCAGGCTGAAGGATCGGTCGACGTGTCGGTAGAAGACTTTCTATCATGAATTCAGGTATCAGGTCGAAGGATCGAACATTGAGCCAAGGAGATCGAAAGTTGTGAGAGTCAATATGCCGATTTGGCAATACGTCGAAGGAGAGAACGATGCACCGAAGGATCGGACGAGCGCCGGATAAACCAATGACATGCCAGACAAAGGATTTATGCTTTGTAATCATTTCTCTAAAATTGAAGTAGTTTAGGGGGCTAATTGAGTTAGCTTTTGGTGTAATCATGCTAACTCAATTAGGGGCCAATTGAGCCTTAATTGAGACTAATTTGAGCTCATTGGGAGGCCTGTTCAATGACCCAAAAGTTGGGTCAGGTGGTGGAACTGCCTATGAGTTGGAAAACTCAAAAAACCCGATCTCCGAGGCTGTCAGGTGGTGGTATGACCAGATTGGGTGGTGATACCGCCCAATATTACGCTGTAGGCGGTGGTACCACCCGTACTCGGAAGACTCGAAAGTTTAAATTTTTGGCTCCAATTTTGAAACTATTTGGGGCCTATAAATACCTCACTTGGGCAGCAAGAAAGAAGCAAGAATTTTTAAGGAAAAAATGAAGTAAACTCTGCAAAAAATTTGAGTTCCCTCCTCCTAGTGCTTAGAGTTAGTCCTAAGGGAGGTGTGTGAGGGAATACTTGTAAAAGAGTGACTTGTAAGGGTTATCTCCTAAACTCGTGAAAATGAGAGAGTGCTGTAAAAAGGTGGTTGGTCTTTGCCTATTGAAAGAAGACCTTTAGTAGATGCTAGTGGCTTCAACGAAGGAGGAATCAGAAGTGGATGTAGGTCACTATGACCAAACCACTATAAATTCCGATGTGTTCTTTCCTTACTTCTTATTCTTTTTACTGCATTCTACTTTACTTCATTGCAAACTATCCAATCCCCTCTTCTCTATTCACTTGCAAACTTATACGAGTTAAACAGACGATTTCGTCGAAATCAGATTTTATTGTACGAAGATTTTCAAACCGACGTAATTTTTTCACTGCACTAATTCACCCCTCCTCGTAGTGTTGACTCGATCCTAACAAGTTAGAATATCTTTCTATTAACTAAGGTAAATTACTTGGAGAATATAAAGGTATTGAAGTAGGTAATTGAAAGGGGCAAGAAAGTGATGATGAGTCCAAATGGACTTAGTTACCCAAAACCAAGCATCAGTTAAAATATATGTTAACTTAGAGTACTACAATGCCAAAGAGATAAATTTATCGATTACGAGGAGAAGAAAAGGAATGGAGATATAAGGCAGCAAATTATAGCATCGTGGTCATAGAAGCATCATGGTACCATAGAGGTGAGACTTTCATAAAATCATTGATCCCTTGTTCTCGTGGAGGGAGAGTGTATAGTTATGAAAGGGGCCGAGGAGTTAAAAAATATAATAACATACTCCAAGTATTATGATAAAACAAAATAATAAAGGCCATAGAACGTTATAAAATCTGTGTTGACAAGCATCTCATCAAGATAGTCAAAAGTAGGGAACTTTGGTTCGATGCGAAAGTTCTTGACTAAGGAACGAAGTATGTAATATGTGATGTTGTACCCTTTTTGCTCAAAGGGGTAGGCAACAAAAATGATCAAGTATGTGGTATATTCATGAGGGATGACCAAAACTAATAAAAAGTTGCTCTAGTTAGGAAAATTTTTTGTTCCATCGGGCAATGCTTCTTGCATTCCGGAAGCTCGACGACAACGATAAGGCAACTTATAATAGCTAACTCAATACAAATAATATAATAATTTAAGTGATTCAAAAGTGTGAGCAAAAAGTAAGTGAAGGAAGTATAATCCTGAGGAGGTAAGTGAAGTCAAGTACCCTTAGCCTTCTCAACTCTTAAGAGAATAAGCGAAACTGAGTGTCCCAGTTATTTTAGTTATCCGATAGAAGAGCTCTATACATATTTAAAGGCCCTTCGAAGAGATATAGTGGTAAACAATCAATGGTGATTGATTCTATCAAAAATAGCTTGTTTGCTTCATTTCTCAACAAAGTGATAATTGAAAGCAAAGATGATAACTAGGCAAAAGATAAGTCAATGGTAACTTTTATGAAAAAATGACCTAAAAACTTTAAATTTTATTAGACAATGCTCATTAAAGTTATAATAGACATCTATCCAATTCAGTTGGTATAGACATTTGAGGGATTGATACATAATAGGGAATGTCTTTTCATTCATTTAAAGGGTTTGGAGGAACCAATGAAAGTCAATGCAACTTGACTGACCCTACACTAAAGTCAGATTCACTAGCAAGTCAAAACAACGTTGGTAGATCAAAGTTTGACCACTTAATAGTAACAACAAAGAGCAACTAAAGGTGAGAAGTGCATTATGACTAATGCATGAGATTAAAGATTTAGTGAAGTAATAAGGTGCAGTATTTGTAGAGGTTTCAATAAGGACATCCAATGAAGAGGAATAATGTTATGAATAGCTTAAAGGGAATGTGTCTAACATAATATCTAGATGTGTCCATGCTTTTCGATTCCATTCATGCCTTAGGTAGCACAAAAGGGCTTGTAGTTGGTTTGACAATTCCATTTTGGTGTGTGTGAGTATCGTATAAATGTAAAATTATCTAAAAATAAGACATGTAGTCATTTTAGATGTCTTTTAGGTGCACAAAGTAACATGAAATATCATTCACCTAAGCACCTTAAAGCTACTCAATTCGGCACAATGTTATATAGGCCTTTAGAATAGTGTTTTGGGTTAGTTCGTTACTTAATTCCATAGCGGTATCGTATGGACACTTATGAGGACTCTTGAGTGTAGCCAACTATCTTGGATCCTTTGTTTCATGGTCATTCATAGCTTATAAATTTCATCTTTATATTTTAAAAAATTATCTATCAAGTATTTGTTTAAATATTTTTTTGTGAGATCCTGAGTTAAACATTTCTACTAACATATCTTCTCTTTTGCAAGTCTTTAGAAAACCATATAAGGTTATAAAGAGATCGACTATTTATAGATGAACTTGAAAGGATGTCGTATAACTTAAGCAATATCAATTAAATCTATAAGAATATGATCTACAAACAAAAATATATTATTCATAAAATTTTCAATAGTTGATTTAGACGAAGGAATAGTTATCATCTTTACATAGACGATTAATTTATTGAATAAAATTATTCGATAAAGATATCATCGTATCATGTTAATTAAAAATGAAAAGATCTCACTCCTCATTCATTTTGGGTTTCTCAATGCTACTTAATATTACTATATAATTAAAAAAAATTAGAATCATCATAGAGGTATCGTATGCTTAATTCACAATCATTTCCATCCGATAAATAAAGCTCTCATGTAAATAAATGATCACCCTCATTTGCTCTTAGTAAACTACTATATCCTTTCAACCATCAAATCATACTAACTATATATTTTTCATCTTAAAACCTCCTCCCTTCCATAACCATGAATTTTGAATAAAGACGATATCACTAACATTCCATATAAACTTTGAATCAATATCCATAAGAATCATGGATTACTTACATTAAAATTAAAATGGTGAACGAATTCCGTACATGATTTCTCCAATGACATCATGTAGTATTTGGTGATACCCTTAAATCTCCGTATCTTCCATCCATGGCAAAATCCTTGTAACCTCTCATCCCACATTCTCTCAACTTACATAATTCAATCATAGTTGCCTAATTATTCCTGTCTTAATATCGTTAAACACTTTCCTATCTCAATCTCAAACATCCATTTTCCCTGAATTGCTTGTCTCCAATGTCCTGTCCCCTAGTTTATTAACATTTACATTCTTTAATGCTAGCCGTTTGATTTCGATCCAAAGGCAGACTAAAACTGGTCATTTGTGTCCTGTCTACTGGAATGCCCATCAAATAATAATAATAATAATAATCATTATTATTATTATTATAACGTACATCACGAAATCTAAAAAGAAGTCCACCGAAGTCTTTTGCATTGGAGTATCTTATTATCTCCGCACGTAAGCAACGAAAGGCTTTCGTTCTCCTTTGGTCTAATTACCCGCGTTCCACCTGCGCCCTCCTCCTCCCACGTGGAAGTCATGGTGTGGGCCCCAACGATCCGGTCTCTTAGAAGGTGTTCGGTATATGTGTGCGGTACGTGTGCTTTAGGATCTCGTAGGGAAATCAGACGCCGACAGATGGTCTGCTCGCGGATAGGATCAACTGGACCCAGTCGGCACAGGATTCAGGTACGGGAGGATGCATGGGTCGTGGGTCCCGCTTGGACAATAATTGGTATGGCGATTATTGTTGGATCCCGTCTTCGATAGGACAGGCGACGCGCACCCGGACCGACATGGCCTTCCCTGTTCCTTTGGGTTTCCCCAATCGCCTGCGCTGCTCAGTGTCATGCACGGAAAGTGATGGTTGTCGATGCAACTGCAATTACCGCGATTCCCTGCGGTGAAATCACAGGGTTAGCTGGTCGCAGCTGTCACGCTCTCTCCTCTCCTGCCTTCCTTCCGCCTCCCGGCCTCTCTATAAACTCAGCTGATGGCCTCCCGCAGCTCGAGTTACACTTGCAGCCATGGCCAAGAACGCTGGCCTCCTCATCCTCTCTCTTTCCTTTCTCTTCTTCCTCTTCTTCTCTGTTGCAGTCTCGCGCAATGTCACCTTCGACCACCGCTCCCTCATCATCGACGGCCAGCGCAAGCTCCTCATCTCCGCCTCCATTCACTACCCTCGCAGCGTCCCCGCCGTACGCTCTCTACCCTCCTTTCTGTTGTTCATGCTGCTGCTCTTCTTCTGCTACTTCTTTCTCTAAGCCACTCTCGGTCTTTGATCCTACTCCCAGATGTGGCCCGACCTCGTCGCGGCGGCAAAAAGGGGAGGCGTGGACGTCATCGAGACCTACGTCTTTTGGAATGGTCACGAGCCCTCTCCCGGCCAAGTCAGTTCCCTTCCAACTCCCTTCCCATGTTTCTTGATCGCGCTCCTGCTTGATATGTTCCTCAACATAACCCGCTTCCTCTGCCGTTTCTCTCTGTTTGCAGTATTATTTCGAGGACCGCTTCGATCTGGTCAGGTTCGCGAAGATCGTCAGAGATGCGGGCATGTATATGATCCTTCGCATTGGGCCATTTGTGGCCGCAGAGTGGAATTACGGGTGTGTATGCCGAGTGACGTTCAGATTTTTGCACCTCTGTTGGTTTTGTTCTTTAGGGGATTCGATTGTTATTGGGCTTTGGATTTTCCATGCAGGGGAGTGCCGGTTTGGCTGCACTATGTTCCGGGGACTGTTTTCCGGACTGACAATGAACCTTTCAAGGTCTGTGGATGAATAAAGCTTCAATCTTTCTTTGGTGGGAACGGCATGTTCTTGGTTTTTTTTGTCTATGCGGAGTGTAATCTGACAGACAAGAGTTTGTCTTTGATTGTTGGCTTTCAGAGTCATATGGCGAGCTTCACCACATTCATAGTGCAGATGATGAAGCGAGAGAATTTGTTTGCATCACAAGGAGGCCATATCATTTTGGCTCAGGCAACTGCTCTTAACTATCATTTAATTTCTGCAACTGACCAAGTTCTTTGATTTCTTTGCAGAAAAATTTGATTCTCATACATCTTTACTTGAATCTACTGTTATCTCTACAATTCCTGCCTTCCCAAATATTGTAGTTAGCTCAATCCAGCCTCATGGTTCAACTACAAGTATTGACCAAATGATCGCAATCCTCTCTTGCAATCCGCATAGCGAGCACGTTTTATGCATTTAGATAACCTTCAAATGGGGCGTGCTTTAATATTGAGATTATTTTGCGATAGCATCCAAGCATGGAACAGAACTTTCGTTGGAACTTAGTTTTACAGACCGAGCTGTTTTGAAGACTTTGCTTATTAGTAATAAGAGTGGAAGATAGAAACTGTAAGTAAGAATTTTGATCTAACTTCGAAGTGTATATATATCATAGCCAGCTAAAGGTGTAGCCTCATAGCTCTATCAGTCTTTTCGAGTTTTTGCATGATATAAGAGTGTTCTTCCTCGTTCCAATAGAAAGTGCTCTACCACTGTGAAAGATCATCGATGGCTGATAGGGCTGAGTTTTATCTGTTTCATTTATCGTCATTTGTTCAAAAATCCTATCAAAGATCATTCTTTTATTGTCGTCGAAGCTCAAGAACTGAAATCAGTTTCTTATTTTCGTTCCTTTTTTTGGCTTGACTGCAGATTGAAAATGAATATGGAGATATTGAATCAGTGTATGGTGATGGGGGGAGGTCATATTCAAGGTGGGCTGCCAATATGGCACTCTCTCAAAACATTGGCGTACCTTGGATCATGTGCCAACAGTATGATGCCCCTGATAATGTGGTAATGGTTCATATCCTTGTTGATGTACAATTTCTGAATTCCATCTCAAATTTTTTGAGGATTCAGATTAATGGTAGTAGGCCAATATAATATACAGCATGGAACTTGCTAACCACTGTTTATTTTGAATGACAAAGCTATTGACAAGAAGTTGTCAGTAGCTTTTTCAAACTTTGTGTTGAGTAGTTAGAGCAGCAATGCATGAGAGAAAATTCACTTCTCTGTTCAATTGGAACTCCAAGACAGTGCAGCTGCTTCCTATCATATAAAGTGCATCAAGCAAAATCAAACAGAATTTGCTATTCTTTCTTGTTTTGCATGTCTCTTATCTTGTGACTCAACTTGTGAGAATGCAAAATTATGGCTCTTTACATTTATATGTATCATCATTGTTATATTAGTGTCAATCCCTGTTTCACAGCTTCAAAAATTAGAAACATATTATCGTGTAGCGACTAAAGTTTGATTTTTTTTTTCTTCTTCAAACTTGCAGATAAATACTTGCAACTCATTTTATTGCGATCAATTCAAACCAAGTTCTGCGAACAAACCAAAATTTTGGACAGAAAATTGGCCTGGATGGTAATTTCTATGTTAAATCAGCATTATCTTCTTTGCTTTTAAAGTGTTACTCTCAAGTTTAACTTCTGACGTGGAGAATCTAATTTATAGAATTGGCTTTGCGAAATAAACTACATGTGAGTAAATGAGAAGTTGAGAATAAATACGTAAACTTTGGGTGGATATAGTTGGTTTCCTTTTCATTATATTTTAGATGATATTTAAATCTATGGACAACACTCTGGTCTGTCAAATAAGTGAAGCATCTATGTATTATGATTTTGACACCTTAACTTTATAGAGACTAGCATGCTAGAATCATATTCACATATGGGGACAACTTGTTTCTGATCTGAAAAGGAAGTCACAGGTTCACAATAGTTAAGATATGTGGAAATGGTGGTCAGAAGGGGAGAGATAGGTGAGAGAAATAAGGTTCATCTAGAGTGGACGTGGATCAAATAACTAACCAACATATCATACGTAATAGATGGGTATTCCACCTTTTCTTTGGGAAAGGAAAACATTGATATATGTGCATGCATAAACATTTTCAATGTTCCCAGCACAAGGAGGAGAAATTGGGTTTTTTATTCTCTCCAAATAATCTATCTTATTCTTGGTAAATGGTGGGTTTGGGTTGATATTGGGTGCAAGGGGCATAGGAACTTATCTGAACCTGATGAGACTTGCTATCAGGACAAGATTTCTTGGCTCAAACTTGATCATTGTAGCTGGTGAATAGGCCAGGCTGGGACAAGATGGTTTGGACTGGATCAATCTAGTGGACTAAGGCAAATTTTATTTTGGCTTTCAGAAATGAGAAAGAAAGAGAATTTGAATCAAGTGGGGTCAGTAGGTTTATGCTTGAGACCAACTCAGACCCATACCCAAGAAGACTTGCAAAGAGGCTATGATTTCTTGATTGTTCCACTCCGCACCTGATTAGTTCTCAGTGATAACTGGAAGATGCTTCTGTAAATATGTTTCTAATGCTTTACTTTATTAACTATAAACTGGAGGAATTACCTAATGCCCCAAATCCAGAGCACTATAATCTTTCTAGGTCTTGCTGGCTGTAAATTGCTATGATTTTAGGCTCTGCATCTGGTCAACCATAGTATCACTTTGATGCATCTTATGTCAACAAAATCTCATGGCACAATTTTTTTACTTCCATTGTTGTAAGCTCAATTACAGATCTTTTAGGCTTTTACTAATACTAAAATGTAACCTTTTTCCAGGTTTCAGAATTTTGGGACGGCAAAGCCTCATAGACCACCTGAGGATATTGCATTTGCTGTTGCTCGCTTTTTTCAGAAGGGTGGTAGTCTGCAAAACTATTACATGGTATGTCTTTTAAAAATCATTATATTTTTTGGTAGGAGACTGCAAATTATTTCATGCTATTGAAAACAATGAATGCACACTTCACATCTTTTTCTTAGTATCATGGTGGAACAAATTTTGGTCGCACTTCCGGGGGACCATTCATCACTACAAGCTATGATTATGATGCTCCAATAGATGAATATGGTATGCTACTTTCTAGATTTTCATTGACTGAGTTACAAATAACTAATATTTTTTAAATTTTAATTGAAAGGTTTATTTCTTTGATATTTGATTTCACTAATGAAGATGGATTGCATTTTAGGGTTGGTTAGGCTTCCAAAATGGTCACATCTGAAGGAGCTCCATGAAGCCATAAAATTATGTGAACAAACTTTGCTCTATGGCACGTCAAAGTTTCTGTCTCTTGGCTCTCATCAAGAGGTGACACAGTTTTTTTTTTTTTTCTTACGATATAGTTTCCTCACTAAGTTCAAAACCAAGTATTTCTTAATGTGTTTGTATAGGCATAGTGACACCCAAATATATCCACTTTATGCATAATTAAAAAATTAAGCACTATAAAGTAATAACTACAAAATGCAAGTATATTTTATAATTTGTTATCATTTTTAAGGATTAATTATAAATTATCTCCTATAATTAACTACCTTTAGTATTTTAATCCTTACACTTTCAAAAGTTATATTGGGTTTCCTATACTTACGAAAGTAAAATATTGAGATATTTATATATGATTAAAAAAATAATTTTACAGAATTAAAAATCAAGAGAGATGGGTTTTATTGGAGTAACGGAATTAAATATTTCATTTTCGTTAGTGTAGAGATCTTAATGTAACTTTTGAAAGTATAGGGACTGGAATGCTAAGAGTAGCTAATTACAAAGGATAATCTATAATTAACCCCATTTCTAATTATTATAATAATTTTAAGCAAGGAAAGAGAGCCAAAAAGTACACCTATACGGTTAATATCATTCTAATTATGTTTTCCCACCCCTATTTCATGAATCTTATTTGGAAAATATTATCATGATTTTGGACTTTTAACCTATTATCAAATAAGTGCACTTTAAATAAAAGTGCCAATCAAGTCTTGGAATACTCATGAAATAGCATGCTGTTTATGTCTTCCTCTTTAAGTTTAATGTTTTCACTGGTCATTACATTAAGAGGATAGGCTTCATTCTTTTAAATTATCTTTTTGGTGGGTTTCAGCTATTCTGTTTTATTTATATTATCAACATAAGTTTCTTTCTTATGCAGGCTGATATTTTTGAACACTCAGGGAAGTGTGTTGCATTCCTTGCTAACGTGGATGAACGAAATGATAAGTTGGTCATATTTCGGAATGTACGATACAATCTTCCAGCCTGGTCTGTCAGCATCCTTCCAGATTGCAAGAATGTTGTGTTCAACACTGCAAAGGTATGTTCAATCTTCCATTTACTTATTATTTACATACTATGGGCAACATTAACATATATCCTATAGTTCTTAAGAACCAAATTCAAATTGTTACCTGATATGATATCTATTATGAGGGGCTAAATGATAGACAGAGATGCAAAACCTGCTTATATAAGCTGTAATATTAGCTATACTCTATTTCAATTCAAATATTTAAGCATACAGTGAATTTTCAAGATCACTTTTGAAGCACTTAAAGAGCATTTTGTTAAACTTCTTTTTATCAAAATTCAGACATCATCAGATGCATGTTAGTGCTCATGTTCTGGTGCTTTCTTTACAATGACAAGGCATTTGCTTCGTTTAATACTAGGTGGTAACTTTCTATCACATACCATGACAGGAAACTCTGTGACAGTAATATTTGTTTGATCAAAAGAGAAATGCTAATATCTATTATGGTTATATGAAAGAAAATTCCAAAGAATCATATGAACAGCTTCACATACACTTGCACATGTATTGTGCTAGTAAGCATTATACCATGTGTTGTACCAGATTAGCTATCTCAAGTTCCATTTATTAAATAACTACTAAATAAAGATGTCTGCCTTTTCCATCATCAGTATGCCGACTAAATATTGCAGCATTATGTTATACTAATTAATACCTTTATGATAACTTGCAATGAAGGCCTTTTTGGGCATTAAGTGCACTGTTACATACCAATGAAAATGCTGCTACACTGTAATAACTAAATATAGATCAGGACTTGAAATATAAAGGTGAAATTGGTTGTGTTTCTTTCATTTATGTCTTTGAAGAATTTTGTGACCATAGCAAATTAAAATTCTTATTCCTGTATTTTGATGTTGCTAACAGTCTCGATTGGTATTTATTATTCAGGTCCGATCACAAAATTCCCGAGTAGAAATGGTACCAGAGAACTTGAAAGCATCTGCAGGTTCAGGAAAGCTATCTTGGCAAGTTTACACAGAGAAAGCCGGTGTTTGGGGAGCACCTGATTTGATTAAAAATGAGCTTGTAGATCATATTAATACGACAAAGGATACAACTGATTATCTTTGGTATACAACAAGGTAAGCTTAACTCTGCAATTTTTGTTATCTTCTTTGCTAGTTTATTGCAGTACTTCCATATTGACAGATAGTTTTCGTTTTCCTTCATCTTTGCACATTTATTACGTCAACCACAATTCACTATATGCTCAATGGGACTTGAAGCAGTGACCACTTGACCATGCATAAAATGTGCTAACAACCTGGATGTCTCCGTGGAGACTCATCTTGTTACATAGTTACTAGAGAATAATTTTGATCTGGAAGAATTCTTTTTTCTGGCAAGTGCAACTAATTCAGCATTAAGGAAACCTTGTATTTGCAAAGGCCGATATCATCATTAGTTACGTTTTCTTTCTTCGAAATTCAGAGATCATCTGATAACATATGGCATTAGGAACCTGCATGATGCCTTAGATATACATAAACAATGTAATTAGCTGTTCTGTTTTTCATGAAAGTTGGTCCATGATTGCAATGTAGATACTAATTTTTCTTTAATTTTTTTTATAAATGCAGTTTTTATATAGATGGAAATGAATTTCTTAGTAATGGGAGTCTTCCAATTCTGATGGTTGAATCTAAAGGCCATGCTGTTCAGGCTTTTGTAAATGGTCAACTTCAAGGTTCTTTCCTGACTTTCTCATCATATATAGATCATTTCACCATGGATCATTGCTGTAAAAATATGATACACTCTGGTGCCTGACTTGGTTATCTGCACATTCCAAGAATCTGTTTCTTAGCCAAATCTTTGTGATTTACTCATAATAATGCTTTTATGGATATAATACATATAGCAAATGCAGAGAGGAAGATTAAACTGCTATATTGTAGAAGCTTTAGAAGTTTTATTGGGAACCATCGATAAGCCTATTCCATGGAGTCACCTTTTCCCATAGAGCAATTTCATCTTTCCTACCATAGACAGCCTTGTTTTGAACTGATAGATTGCAAATGGTGACCACAGATAGAACATATTTAGTATGATGCTAGTGTTTCTGGGGAGGTGGAACTCCACAAATACATAATTAACATGTGCTCGCTTCCACCTATACATACATAGTAATGCATATGTACATGTAGATATTCAATTAGTTGTACTAGTCATTTATCATTAATCTTGCATGAGCAGACCAATAACTATAATAAGGACAATCTTGGGCCTTAAAAAGTAAAGGCTAAGGAAATGTCATGTGAAGCTAATCATTGACAACCACAGATGGTCCTCTTGCCACTTCAAATTGATTACAACATTTTGTCATCTGCTTCATTCAATGCTGGTTCTAGTTGCCTTCTTTCCTGTGAAACTTAACATGGCATATAGACCGTGACTTCACATGAATGATTTTTCAGTTGTCATCAAATGCAGTCATAAGGCAGACAATACAGAACTCTGGCACTCTTGCTTTTCATGCTACTTCATCGCCTTTGTCCTATTAAATCATGTGCATCTAGTGGTTGATGCTATTCAAGTCTCTTTGGATATGTCCATATCTGTTAACTCATAAAAGTTGACTGATGATTCCTATGGCTTCTATCTTACAGCCAATTCTTCTGGTTATACTATCAAGCTTGAGGCTCCCATAACCCTAAGGGCAGGGGTAAATGAAATTGCTTTATTGAGCATGACTGTTGGGCTGCAAGTAAGTAATTGTGCCTTGTCTTATCTGATAGTGTTGCTTATAACATATGTCTTACTCCGAAAACCAGAATGACAATATGTGGAGAGTAAAAGGATTTTCTAATGTACTACAGCTCTTCAAGTCATTATTTCTATCATCTGCCTCATAGATCTTCAAGGAGTTTCTGAGTAACAAATATCTGTATTAATGCATCATATATTATTGGTCTCCCCAATGTTCATTTTAAAAACAAGAAAAATTAATTCTTCTAACAATCTAAGAATTTTGCCAATGCTCTATATTCTTTGTCATGCACACGGTATGTGCATTGATGCGTAAGACTCTCCAAACCATGATAGAGACTGAAAATTGTATAGACAGCAATTATTTGATCTCTGAAAAAGCAACACAGCAACTTTGAACTGGGTGTCTAAGAAATTTTGACTGAAAATGTAAATACTTGTTCTTGGTCTAAAAATAACCGTGGTATGTTTTTTTAGTGCAATGACCGGTCTATAAGCTCCTTTCGGATTCTGATATTTTGTCTTCCAACCAAAGAATGCAGGACCTTTTTATGAATGGCTAGGTGCAGGGTTAACCAGCGTGAAGATATCTGGACTTAGAAATGGAGGTTTAGACTTGTCAGGAGCTGCATGGGCATATAAGGTAATCAGATTGGCTACTGTATCCATCTTGAGCTTTTAATTCTCAAAACTGTTTGCTAGCATTTATATGTGATGTATTCAAGTTTCCACTATCATGGAGCTAAATTTATGTTGAATGCTGTTAGTTTTCTCTTGCCTCCACTGCAGGACGACTCTTAGTTTTGCTCGCTTATGTTTGTCTCTAGTTGAGAGCGAGGTTTTCAAGGGGGTTCTGTGTTGTTTATGAACATAATGCAACAAGTTATGGCATTGTAACTCTCAATATAGTCTGTCATTTGCTACCATAGAAATTGGTTTTGTAGTTAACCATACAAGTATTACTTAATCTAGGACAGTAACATAGTGGTTGAACAGAAATTCTGTCATGTTTGTGGTCTTGTGCATAATAGAGCCAATTTTAATTTGTATGTTTGGTTGGACTCGAAGAACAGAAAAAGGCAAGCCAAGTATAAGGCTCCCGACATTATTAGGTCTAGGGAAGTCCAATGTGTGCAGCCTTTTCCCTTAGCAAAGAAAGAGATCGTTTTGCTTCCGCGACAAGGGGTAATCTAATCCATGACATCAAGGCTTACCCTTTTTCTGACTCAAGAATCCATTACATTAAACTATTTATCTACTGGGTGATGGCTTATTGCATTGTGTTCATCATAGTGATTAGTTAGGCAGGTGTTACTCATAGTAAGTCAACAACCTGTTATTATGCCATAGGTCAGTACCTCACAAGGGTGGCATCAGGACTTTTGACTTGCATTCGGAACAACGTAAATTAAGATCTTCTCTTCCTCATTTCTAGTAGTTTGAGAGATTGAATTTTAAGATTACATGTTTATTTTTTTGCATAGGTATGTCATTGGCTGTATGGTATTTTAATGCTTAGAAACGCAACAACCTTTTGACAGTGCTAATTCTTGGAAATATATCACCTAAGAAGCTCTATAATATGATGTGCTTCTCTTTGCAGATTGGGTTGGTAGGAGAGCATCAAAATATATTCAAGGCAGATGGTAACCATGATGTCAGGTGGACACCAGCATCTGATCCTCCAAAAAATCAACCTCTGACATGGTACAAGGTATTAATTGTTCGTTTCTTGATCTTTCTTAATATTTATTATCCTAAAAAGGGTTTTATCAACATCAAGTCAGAGATGCTAAGTTTCATGAAAACTGTGCTGCAATTGTCATTGGTATATTTCATTGTTATTAGCTTGTTCTGTTCTTCCTCAACACCTTCAATCTAGTTTTCGATGCTTCAGTTAATAAATTGCGTGAAAATTCTCTGACTCTTATTTCACTGCAGGTAGAAGTTGCTCCTCCCCAAGGAAATGAACCAGTTGCACTCGACATGCAGTCCATGTGGAAAGGTCAGGCCTGGCTGAATGGCAAAGCCATTGGAAGATACTGGTCTCTAACAAGTTCTGTATACAACAAGTGCACCCAGAATTGTGACTACAGAGGCCCATTTTCCCCAGACAAATGTAGGACAGGATGTGGAGAGATCTCCCAGAGATGGTACTTTCTCTTCCTAAATCTCAATTGGTTGTTCTACTCTTCTGTTTAATGATTCCACTCCTCTATAGAACCTACACATGAATTCTCTGAATCTAGCATCCTCATTCAGCTGAGAAGATCTCTTCATCTTCTCTTTATTTGGCCAATTATATGAATGACTTAATATGTGGTATGTGTTTCAGTAACAAGTTTCCGAAAAATACTAACTCTCTTCGAAATCTTCATTACATTGTACTTTCTTACACCTACTAATTAATCCACTTCGAGAAACAAAATCTTGTAGTCTTTGCTGTTACAAAAATCTGCACCAAAGATTTCTTCTCCTTGGGGTATTGACTTCCTTGTGTGCTTTAAACTTTGACCACAGGTACCATGTTCCAAGATCATGGTTTCAGCCATCAGGAAACACACTCGTCTTTTTTGAAGAGAAAGGGGGAGATCCTACCCGGATCACCTTTGCAAGAAGACGTGTGACGGCTGGTGCACCGGCATAACCAAGACACCGGCTGTTGAAGCTTGCAGAGAAATTAAGATGTCATGAGTAGATGCGGCTACGTAGTAGGTGGTTAATGAATAATTTGCTTTCCATGCATGTGAAAGAAGACTTGCGTATGTTGTGTTTATTGTATACATCTCAACCCTATTTATCGACATTCAAGATGGTCAATAATATGGATCCTATAAATTATGGGATCGACACAAATAAAGGAATATCAAATATCTTGCGTGATGATAAATTATGGGAATAGTATTATAATCCTGTTGATAATGCTTATCGATTATGATTGTTGATTCATCATCAGTATCAATTAAATAGAATGAGTCATTTTTAATATATTTTATACGTTCGGAAGATATCAGTTTGAATAATCAAAAGTTGAGTGGATGATTTAAATGGTAATCCTAAATATTTAAGTAATCTATGGTATCACAATCACAATCACAGGTGTTTATTTTGCTCCTTAAGAAAATCAAAGAATTGTTTAAAAAATTTTATATATATATATATAATCATAATATTTTTATTATTGAGATCACTTGCCGAATAGCTAATTAAGCTAACATAATGAATAGACTAAGGATTAAATGTAAATTGGCAGACTAAATAATAAACCACATATGATAAATCTAAATGCACAACAATGGATAAACAAGACTATCAATAAGTTTTGTATTTTTAAGAGGTTCTCTATTTGTAGTCCATAATTATGTTTACTATGCTAATATAAATGGTATTAGCTCAAGTGTGAAGATCAAAGGTGCATTTGGATTGTTTGGTATGATGCAAACAAAAAATATATATAACGAATAAATAAAAACTTCAAAGATCATTTATAATGTCAAAATGATCAAGATATATTAACTGAAGTATTAATAATCCGTGTCGCGATCCTATGATTATTATCATCCAACAAATGCTTTTAGAATTCTGAATCATATTTAATTAATAATTTAATATCACTAGTGAGATAGTACTGCAGCTGTATATTTAATTGTAGTACTTATATAATTCTAATTGACAATCAAAGCATAGAACACATGGAAATTAGGTCAAAGTTGACATCTTGTTGTGCAAGTAGCTGTGCATTAACTCCCCTAACAAATCAAATTGTGGTCTTGATTACTGCACTGCAACACACATAAAAATGAGGTCCACTCTAGCTGTGATCACCCAGATATTTAGCACAACTCCATGGATATTCTGAGGACACCAGTGATGCCACAGGAGGGCTGAAACCTTGTTGAAGAAGAGAGCCACAGAAGTGATGGTGGGTAAAGCCTGTTGTTGCTAAGGACCCAACTCTCAATCTGCATCCCTAATGCATGCAACAAAGTCCCAATCCAAGACAGCAAAGATATGCTTTGTTTTGCTACATAAACCATGTGCTCTGAACTTGTTCTCTTCTGTTCTTTCTTGTTTTCTGGATATGGATAAAGACATCAAGAACATGAAACTAACAGGGGGGCAATACCTAATCAAAGATCAGATGAAGGTGCCTAAATCCATGTGCAGTGTTGGAACAGCTGCTGTCTAAATATCCATGCAGCAGAACAGTGTTCTTAGTCGATGAGATATTATTACTACTTAAAGAGATTGCTGACTGATGACCAGGATGGATACCAAATGCTGGAACCCAACATTGCATGTGCTTCTCACAGTTGTTGCTTTGTATCATCCAACCTACAGGATTGTTTGTATGGCATATTTAATTATGGATTGATAGGTCTGCAGTCATATTTAATATAAAGATATTATGCACACAAGCTGAGTTTCAATTATGCTGGGACTTGGCAATTTATTTTCTCATGTTTGATACAGGTTGAGATTTTGTTGGTAGAGACTTCAGGAACTTTGGAATCATGTTCAATATTGTGTACTTGTCTCATTCAAGTTCTCAATTATTGACTTTGAATGCAAAGCATAAAGGACAAATACTTGTGAGTTTATCCTATCCCAAGTCCTAATTATTATTACTATTGTGATATCATTGCAATAGTGGTTATAAATTGACCATCTCAAATCAAATCCATCAAAAGTGGTCTCATCATAAAAAAAATAGAATTTAAATAAAGAAATTATTATTATCTTGAATCCAAGTATTTCATAAGAAATTGCTGATCTTATCGGATCAGATGGTGATGATAACTCTTATACGACTTACAAACAGAAAGTATTCTTCCAAGAGTCCAACAATACAAGGTTTCTTCTCTTGTCCCAAGTCAAAGCTTTGGCAGGTGATACGGTATCTTGCGCACCTCTTCCAAAGATTCACACAACCAGATTCCGGATTCCAGTTGCTGACACGAATACACACAATCATTGGAGTTCGTCTATATTTTCTAGCTTATCTTATTGTATGTGATGATATGGAATCCACGCGTAACGATTATCCATACGTATCCTCCAGTTTAGTGGGCCCCCACTCGAATTAGATAGGTATTACTATATATAGGATGATGGGATCGTTCTCGTACGGTACGCGTTGACCGTATACGTATATGTCGCAGGTAAAATTCCTTCTCTAATTTACATTTTTATTCACGTCATCATCCAATCTGAGCACATGGTTTTGGAATAACGGCCGCAAGTTTCTTTACTGCACGAATCACGAACAGATCGTGATGACACTTGGGACCGGTCAAAGGTGTGCGCCAAAAAGTCAGCAACCGAAGTGAATTCCTCCAATCTCACGTGCCCAACACGCTTCATACCTTTTGTCTCTTTCCCTCCTCTATTATTATTATTATTATATATTATTGTTATAGTGCTCGGAATGAATCGTGTGCTCGGGTACCTAATCTCTTTCACCCGCGTCCAGCATCCTTATCCACCCACGTCAAAAAAGAGCGCGAATCCGTACCAGCTACGTGTCGCGCTAGCGATGGCCAAACCCCCAGTCAGCCCTAGCGGGACCCGCGGGCCGGGAAGCGACGAAACAGGTGACGTAAGCCATGACAGAATCCCGCCGCAACCCTCGCTAGGTAAGCCCCCCACCGCCGCTGGATGCGTGACACGGAGGCTGGTGGTCCTTCTCGAAGCTGCCCACCGCCTGGGCCCCGCAGTCGACCGGTTTGCCACCGCGTTGTCGTTTTCTTCGACCCACCCGCCTGCCATTCGCGTCTATTTATGTGGCTCTCCTCGTGGCTTTCCAAGTTTTAAAGCTTCTCTCCCCTTCCGTGCCTTAATATATCACGCGGGAGATCCGACGGGCGTGGATCGAAGGGATCGAACGATGAACGGCGGAGATCTGCAGCTGCCACCCGGGTTCCGGTTCCACCCCACGGACGAGGAGCTCGTGATGCACTACCTCTGCCGTAGGTGCGCCGGCCTCCCCGTCGCCGTCCCCATCATCGCCGAGCTCGACCTCTACAAGTTCGACCCCTGGCACCTCCCAGGTAGGTTTCGATTTGGCTTACGGCCTCGTGCGCGCGTGTGATGGCCGCGTGATCTGGATCTGCTGCCTGTGACAGGGATGGCGCTGTACGGGGAGAAGGAGTGGTATTTCTTCTCGCCGAGGGAGCGGAAGTACCCCAACGGGTCGAGGCCGAACCGGGCGGCCGGGTCGGGGTACTGGAAGGCGACCGGTGCGGATAAGCCGGTCGGATCGCCTAAGCCGGTGGCCATCAAGAAGGCCCTCGTGTTCTACACCGGGAAGGCCCCTAAGGGCGACAAGACCAACTGGATCATGCACGAGTACCGCCTCGCCGACGTCGACCGCTCCGCCCGCAAGAAGAACTCGCTCCGGGTATGTTCTGCACCCACCATATTATATTAATCGAACACATGCAAAGGGCCGAGGTCTTTGACGGGTATCGTAATTTTATTGGTTTTGGTGGGGGAGACGCACTGGATCCTCTTCCGTTATTGGTGTGGGTGACCATCCCGATGCAACTTGCCAGGTTGCTATCAGGGTGAGCCGGTGAGGAATCCTCATCGTTTGAACAGTGCACGAGAGGAGTCATCGTGTCCTCTTGGGTGATAGATAATCTAAACAAGAAAGCAGCATGATGTACTAACATGTGGGACGTGTCGGACTGCAGCTGGATGACTGGGTTCTATGCCGTATCTACAACAAGAAAGGAAGCAGCGGTTCGGAGAAGCTTGGGAACACGGATGGGAAGCCGGTGGTGTCAAGGAGCGTCTGGCCGGGCCCGGCCACGAGCCCCGAGGAGCGGAAGCCGGTGCTCGGCCCTTACGCACCATCGCCGCTCGCCCACGTGCCGGCGGAGATGGTGTACAGCTTTGCCCCGTCGGACTCGATGCCGAAGCTGCACGCCGACTCGAGCTGCTCGGAGCGGCCGGAGTTCACGTGCGAGAGGGAGGTCCAGAGCCAGCCGCGGTGGCGGCCCACCACCGAGTGGGACCGGGCCCTCGGCCTCGAGTCCGCCGCTACCGCCGGCGGCGGCTCGGTCTTCTCCCAGATCGAACCGGGTCTGTTCTCCTCCGAGTCGAGGGACCCGTTCCAGGACATCCTCACGTACCTGGGGAAGCCCTTTTGAGCTACAAACGAGCCGCACGCAGGACATGTAACTGAGTTGACACGGTGGCGACTCCGCGAGCTGCGGCGGAAATGGAATCGTCTGGAGGATGATCTCCGGCCGTCAGTCACGGGACCAACCGAATCGGACGGCTGGAGTCGCCACGGCAGCGATGAAACCGAGTCGATTCCGGGCTGAGTCAACGCGTCATAGATTTTATAGGGATGTGAGTGTGGATATGGGCATACTACATAGCCACCATTCTTTGATTTGAAGTGTTAGTATTTGGAGTATTGGTAGATACTTATACCTTGTCAGATATGGTATTTTCATCATTTAAAAGTCTTGTATATTATGAAGAAAAAACTCCGATTTTAATCTCAATCTCATGGACTAAATAAATGAAAAGTAGATCATGAAAAATGAGCAGAAAGATTACACAATTGACCACTAATTTTATTCATGAATTCTCACTCAGAATAAATATGCTCTTGGGATAATTCTATAATGTTCTTCCATATTGTAGAACGGAAGATAAGTTCATTCGGTACTTATCAAAAGCTTCATTGACTGAATACACTTTGCCCGGATCAATATGCCTCGTAGATTCTATCAGATGTAGTGAAGAGAGGACAAACTAAGTAGCCATCAAACAGGTTTCACACTTGAGAAATCTCATGAAGACAAAGGATGGCCTTTGACACTGTAGATTGATTGCTTAATCTGTGGAAAAGCTTCTGAGACATTCTCTTTGGTTGTGCCAACAGGAAGAAGCTTTGGTCTGCAGTCTGTCATGTTTCAAGAGTTGGTGTTTTGCCTTCGATGGACCAACACAATTAAATCGAGTAACCAGCTTGAACAAAGGCAAATTCCGATCTGCAACATTGAACAATTAGCATCGACCTCAGAGACCCACTAGTACGTCTGCTCCGTTTCTCGATCAGGAGCAAGAGCAACGACGGTTTTAGAGTTATGCCCACTGATCGTATGAGCTTCACAAAACTCCTATAGTTGATGCTCACTTGGCAGCTTCCAACCACTTGATTCTTGAGGATTTATCAGATATGTGGAATGAAACCTGTACAAAAAAGCAGAATTAGGATTTGCATTATCAAACATTGATTGGTTGACCATTTTGATGTCTTGCTTGACATCAAGAGCCAAAAAAGTAAACTGGATCAATTAACCATTTTCCTGTATGTGATCTACTGGTTAACATATCTTTCATGGTTGCAAAGCTAAACTGCTACCAGAAAATAAGATGGAGGTTTCCAAGAGTATACTTCAGAGATTAAATGAGCGCCTGATGCCACATCTAAAGAAAGCCTATTCATATTCCTTATCCAAGCAGGAAACTGGATAAAACTAGATAACTATTAATGCTAGATAGTAGATACTTGGCCTCTTGTTCGTGCAGGAAACGAGATAAATTTGTATGCTGGAGGCATTGCCTCTCAAAAAATATGTAAATTGTATGATACCTGCAGCAACAAAAAGATAATGAAGACAGTGATCAGACTTTTCATTTATCTTCCAGGGAGTATAGAATTGTATGCAGAATGTGTTTGTTCCTTCTATTCCTTGCTTCTCGTGTGCATGAAATATATGCCAGAAGCATTAGATGCCAAGTTCACCACTTGTTATACATGAAATATATGCCAGAAGCATTAGATGCCAAGTTCACCACTTGTTATATACCATAAGCGTCCCCCACCAGCTACCAAATCCTTGCATTTGGCCGCGTTAAGGATATTAAAATTGATGAATATAACTTTTACTTTCATTATCATTTCTATTTATGTTCACAGCTCCTCCTAGCATCTCGTTACAAAGTAGAGACATTTCAAGCTTGGAATTTGCAACTCTTTCTATAGCACATCTATTTTGACTTTTTTGTTAAACAAAACCTTTTTTCAGTTCTACAGGCTGTTATATTTCAAAAACAGTAAACTTGTCACGTTAAACGACATTAGATGTATCACACAATGACTTCTGATGATGGCAATTAGATAACATCTACTTATCTATAACAACTTGTACGGTAAAATAACTAAGCTCTAAAAGAATGCTCAACCATAAACTAATCATCATCATTGTTTGCATGGTTCGCAACACATTGACCCTCCCCACTCTATATGGAGTATTTTTTGCACTGGGCTGTTCTTTTTCATATGGATGTTTCAATCATTTCATCCTCTATACCTGTAAATGAAATCTTGCTTTGAGATTGCACTCTAACTGCTTCCTATTGTCTCCTTTAGTAGACTTGTTTTTTGGTGGCAATATACAGATTTCATGTAAGGCCTCTTCTTATGTTTCATTCAGTATTTTTAGTCCTTTTTTTTTCCCCAAACTCATACTACATGTTTAGAAGTGCATGACTTGCTATCCTTTTGGTAAGAACAAGCTGATCTTGCGATACGCCAATTCGACTCTTTAAGGCATCATCATAATTCTAAACAGCTACCAGTACTATCATCTGAATACTGAAAACAACATCCTCTGCCGAAAACCTTGACTAATTTGTCTCGTCTTCTCTTCTAGTTGACTTGTTTTCTCAAGTCCATTTAAGATTTATGTTAGGCCTCTTTTTATGCCTCGATCATGATTTCATTTTCCTTGTCACCGTTCCCAACTTCTACTTGTTTAATTACTACATCCTTGGAAGTACATGACTTATTATCCTTTCACAAATAACATCAAGCTATTCTTACCGCATAGCAGCAGATCACTCTTCCATTCACCTCATAATTCTGAAACTGAGTCCTATCATCTGCCACGAACCCCTTCATCTAAACTCCTAAGAAGCCTTTCTCCGCAGAGAACTTCACAAATAAGCATCCGAATCTTAGTTGGTCCATCACTCGATGACTTCATGAAAGTTCATTGATAAGTGGTCTCCCGGTGTTTTTTTTTTTTTTTTTCAAGTCATAAAGTGTCAGAGAAGGCAAGTGCTTCAGTAAGTAGCATGCCATTTTCTGTGGTCAGATAGATAAACAGGTCAGTTGCAAATGAATCAGAAACTACATATATTAGACAGCAAATGAAGTCATATGGAAACTTGGTTGAAGTTTCCACAATTTATAATCATGAAGAAGCTTACAGAAAGAATGAAAACATAGTAAAAAAGGATAATAACCTACACTAACATACTCTTAACAGATGCATACAACTGAAATTAGCTTAACAGGAAACTCGAGATTATCGAAATGCTAATCTGGCAATTCAAGATAATCATTCTGTAATTCCAATCAAATAGACTGAAATGGCAACGTAAGCAGGGCTAATCATAGTTTGGAGAAGATGAATGACCTGAATTAGTAGGGAAGCCTGCGAAGACGTTAGAGTAAGACTTTGTAAGATAGGCAAAGTTTGCAATTGGCGGCAACACGGGCACTCTTTCTCCTTTCTTTAGAAGCTCTTGCAAGTCTACTCTCTGCAAGGTCAGGACAGACTTCGACTCCTTCCACACAAATGCAAGTAGTCCATTCTGGAGCACGAACAAGGAGCCAGGCTTCGATCCTGGGTACTGGAACCCATAACCACTCACAATCCCCTCCCCGGAGTAACTATTTTTTACTTCCACCTGAAGAGACTCAGCACTAGTCTCCCATGGGAATGGCTCTGATCCTATCTCATCCATCTTCGCGATGAACATTGCCGAGCCATTGGGGTGGAGGACATAATGGGTTCCTTCCAGTATCTTGGTGCCGATTAGCAGAAGATGACCTTCGACCTCCTCGTAAGAAAGCAACAAGAAGAACAAGGCCTTCTCTGATTTGCCCTCAGAAGGCTGTCCCGGAGGCCAGCCAAAGGTGCCACCCCACAGGCCTGCATACTCTCGGCCAGCCATTGGACCCTGTAATGGGAGTTTATACAGCGCGATCCTGCTGTCGTGCATGTTGGGCCATGCCCTGTACGTAGTTAGCCTCATGTGTGTTGCTCGTAAGCTCAGTCCGATGAGATCGCCTGACCTCAAGAACTCTTGGAGCTGCGCATGCTTGTTCTTGCTGCTGCCCGAAGAACTCCCATTTCTCGAAATCGAACAGGATGCACTGGGAATGCTGGACCTGCCCATGAATTGTTTCAAGTACCCAGTTATGGAGGAAAAGGCTCTCCCTTGGTGAGCAGCAGGACATGGCCGGTCGTCGATGGCGTTGATGTTTTCAGCACTTTGGTGCTCCATCAAGCCTAATGCCAACTCAGCCACATCCCGATTGATCCATCCTCCATTAAGCTTAAGCATTTCGAGGAGCTCCAACCTTCGATCTGCCAAGAGACTGGCATCATCGCAAAAAGAGGATCGTTCGAATAGAGGAGCAGAGGCCAGGTCCCGGGGGACCTTGAGGCGGACTCTGGCCGCCACCAATTCTAGAAGCCGGCGGCCATCTCTAAATGGCAATCGGCTGAAGGGAAGGGAAGAAGCCCGCGGAGCAGCCAAGGAACGGTAGATTACGGTGGCATACGACCGGCAATATTGTCTTCCTAAACTTGGACCTTTGGATTCAGAAATGGCAGGGAAGCTCCGGGCGGGGAACAAATGCTGTTTCGAGGGAAAGGTGGAGACTATGTGACGGGCATCGGCCTCTAGAAAGAGCACGTTGCAAGAGGACTCGATGGATCGGACGAAGCCAGGGTAGAGGCAGTCGAAGCCGCAGTCTCGGCCGTGGAGGAAGAAGCGAGAGGGCGCGCCGTTGGCATCGGCGAGGATCTCGAAAACCGGCGCCCAGAGAAGCGGTCCAGCGTCGAGGCCCAGGGGCCCGAGTTCCTGGGGAATGACGCGGACGCCGACGATGGAGAGGAAACCCCAGATGACGCAGACGACGTTGCCCAGCTCCGGGTTCTGATGCACCCATATGCCAAGAAGCGGTGCGACGGCAGCGAGGAAGCGGCAGAGGGCGCGGTAGGAGCGAACGCCCATTCGCCACCTGGAAAGGAGGTGGGGCGGCGGGCCGAGGCGACGGCACTGCGCGAGCCAGACCCTCTCGGAGGCCGCTATGGCCGCGTGGAGGCCGCGGCAGCAGAGGGCAAGAGCGCAGAGGTCACCGTGGCGGAGCCCGGCAGAGATGAGCGCCAGCACGTCGTCCGGCAGCCCTAAGAAAAAACCGGAGCCGCAATCCTCCGCCTCCACCGCCACCCCACCGGACATGGTTCCCAAACCGCAAAGGAGTCTCCTTTCTTCTCTCTTCTTGATCAAATACTAGAGCAAAGGCCAAAGTCGAGCAGAAGGTAGCTCCTTGCTACTCTTATCTCAGCACAGAGCCATAAAGGTAGAACCTTTCTTGGCTCTTCTCAAAGGTGAACCAGAGAAGATGCTCACTAGAGGAGCAGGTTTTATATGTAAAAATTACAATGCAACCGTGAGCTGTGGGAGAGTCTACTACTCGGTTGTGCAGCAGCAAAGATGACTGACTGAACAGGAACAGATGCTCCTCAACTGTGGAATGGTAGTAAATTGCACAATCTAATTGATTCATATGCTGTTTGTTTCTTTAGTGCTCAGCAAGTTTGAAATCAGCACCTCATTAGATCCTGAGGTGGATGTATGTGGTGTGTCATACCGCAAGCAACTTATTTATGCTTTCACATTCTGTGGAGATGTGCAGTCACAATACTGCCATGTGAATCGTCTCTTGGCACACCAAGTCTTTATCCAGAGGAGTTCTACCAATCAATGTTCCCACGCCTCTGTTCACCGCTACTGATCCGAAAGATGATTGCCGCCTGGGATGATCACTTGTGTTCCGATTCCCTACTCAGTTCAGACTCCGAAAAGTCAAACATTGACTAGGGTTTCAGCTTCGACTGGTAGAGCAGTTCAATCATGTTCACAGAGGTGAAAGCAACAAGGAAGAAGCCTCCAGAAAACTATGGGTTGTCAATCACTTCCTTTTCCTTCTGTCATCTCCGAAGCAGGTGACGACTTGTGTCCTGGACCTATTTGGATGGACATGATCTGAAACTTCATTCGTGGATTAAGATGAGGAGGTTTGACAGTAGAAATCTGAGCTGCTCGGAAACAAGAGAGCAGAGACACGAGAGGGACAAGTAACAGGGCATGTTGAGACGGCAAGATTGACTGGTCCGAAACCTGCGGTCGCATGCGAGAATGATGCATGGGATGCACACAAAGACACGTGGAAAGCATTACGGCCTTGCAAGTGATGCCCATATAACGGCCCAATAAAAGCCGTGGGTAAAACCCATCTTGTCGAACAATTCGACCTAAAGGGGACACGAAAGGGGTTCGCACACCTATGGAAGGAATTCCCAGGCGATACGTTGTACCGCACTCGCTTAACCGACCTGATCATAATTCGCGATTCGAGTGGGTCCCGGTGGGAGCCATCTCAGATCCATTCATGAGAAAGGTAGCGTCTTTGGACAGAGTGAACGGGTATCAAAAGCACAACCGGAAAGGGTATTCCATATCAGGCTCTCTCAACCGAGGCTTCAAACATGAAAATAATAGCCTTCTCACTGATATGTACGGACTTAGTTGGTTTTGCCTAAGTCATGCGGCATCCTTGTGTGTCCGTCCGTAAAGGTCAGCCTCCTCGAAGCCTCCAATTGTCCCTTAAGACCAACAAAAGAGAGAACGAGTTAGAGAGAACGCCTCAATCGGGATCCACAAGCAAACATCTCTGAAAAACACTTACAATGTAAATTACAAACAGACTTTACAAACTCTGAACAGTTGCACAATAAAGGGTAAAATGGTCCATTACAAACTAAAAATCTCTCACGCGTGTCCACATGACACAACCTTTATTCATAAGCCTAAAGTAAATATGCCACCAACCTAACTAAAATGGGACTATTAAGCCTTCAACCGCCCCTCTATATGCTGTACAAGGCATGAACATGCCAAAAGACACGGACATACATAAGCATTACATCAAACATCTTGTTTAGAAGTTTATCTGTGACATTCTCCTCCACTTATTCCTTCGACGTCCTCGTTGAAGCCTTTGTCGACACTACAACTCCTCGCCTTTGCTGAGTCTTCAATCTTCTGCTCCAGCTACAATGCGCCTCTTGGCTCCTAGCTGCTTCAACTCACCAATGACTCTGACTCTGGTGTGGGGTTGGCTGAGTTGTGTTTATCATTGTTGATTCCTACGGATCCCCCAGATGAAGGAAAATACCATCCTTACTGCGCTAGTCTCTCAAATCCTTCATGCTGCTTGAACTAGGTGGATGCTTGTTGGAGCTTTAACGAGCATCGTCTCGCAAACTTCTGAAGTTTTGGGTCCTTCCTCCATAAAATTTGCTCATTGACTCTTCTTTCACTTGTCACATCCAAGTAGGTTCGCATCACTTCCGCTTTCGATTGGCATTTTGTTGGGAAATGAAGCGGACAATCTACTCTTAATAGCATTGATCATCGTTGGTGAGGATTTGACAACTATTGTCTTTCATTATCTTCGAAGGGTCTTTGAACTTGTGCAAAGCTCCTCTACTGGATAGATAAGAGAATTGGGGTACTCGGTTTCGCCCATTCTCTTAAGGGTTGAGAAGGCAAAGGTAACTTGACTTCGCCCGCCTCCTTCAGGTTGTACTCCATGCATCGAGCTGGTTACTAACCTTCGTCTGCTCTTTGCTCACACTTCTGAAGCACTTGAAGTGTTTGCACTCCTTGCTTTGAGTTAGTTACTGTGATTCACCTTCTCAATGTCATCGAACTTTTGGAATGTAGGAAGTTTTTACCCCAACTTGGAGTAATTCTCTCATAGGTTTGGTCGCCTCTGGGATTATACCGTCTTCTCCATCAACCCTGCCGCCTACTCCACTGAGTAGCAAAGGTGCAGCACCGCGTACTGCCTGCTTCGTTCCTTGGTTATGCACTCTTGTATGACCCGAAGTCCTTCACTTTCGGCTATCTTGATGAGAAGCTTATTAACACCGGTCTTACGAGGTTCCTCGGCCTTTGCCCTTCAGCATTGTCTCGGTACTTGGAGATTGCCTCTCCATGCTCCACCTCCTCGGCCCCTTTCACGACCAAGCGCTCTCCCTCCATGAGAGCAAGGGATCAATGACTTTCACGGAAGTCCCGCCTCTGTGGTACCATGGCGCTGCCATGCTCATGGCACTACTATCCGTCACCTCGCATCTGCATCCCTTTTCTTCACAATCAGTAGATATGCCTCTGTGGCACTCCTCCATTCTAACTGATGCTTGATTTTGGGTAGCTAAGTCCCTCTGGACTCGTCGTCGCTTCCTCGCCCCTTTCGACCTCCTGCTTCAACACCTCTATATTCTCCAAGCAGTCTGTTTGGTCGATGGAAAGACAGACTGCAACTCCCATGCATGGCCTCTGCCATCACGTTGTAGGGTTTGCACCGATTCTTTTCTCCTTAGCTTCCTTGGTAGCAACGTTCGCTTACTCGGCCTTGTCCTTTGACTTGTCGGGCTCCCTTAAGCGAATATGAGCTCTAGAGCAGTCCAACTCTCCAACTGCTTCGATCATACCTCTACATGATCAAGTCCCCCCCCATGGGGCCCACTGATACTTGTATTCGAACTTTTCCCTTGGTGGAACACAGCCCTCATATGCTGATGACCAAGGTTTTCATCTGATGCAAAATTCGATGCACGCACGGAAGACCCGCCTCTACAGTACCATGGCCTTCACTCCTTAAATCCATAGCCCTTCTTGCCGTCGTGTTGTTCACCGAAGTGGTGCTTCCAGTAGCTCCCGATCATACCTCCATATGATCTAATCCCTCACGGGACTAGATCGTGTGTATCGCATTTGCCACGAACTGTTCCACCACGATCCGCTGCACCATGTCGCCTCCTGTTGACATCTCTATTACATTCTGATCCTTGTGGGTTGAACTCGAATTGTGAACCCTCCATGTGTGGCCTATGCCAATACATCGCAGGGTCTCTTTCACCTTCGATTTTGTTCGCTCCTTTAGCAATCGACCTTCATCCACCCACTCTTGGGTCACACCTAGATGAAGCACCACTCTAGGATAGTTCGTCGCCTAGTAGCTCCCGAAGTCCACTGACTTCATTGTAATTTGTGCACCATTGTCTGGATCCTGGGCCTCTGCCCCTACCAGCACAATCTCTGCTGTGCACCGCTTCCTTCATGGCAACTTGAATGGCAACACTGTGGCATATTCTTCAAGAGTACCCACCTCTGAGTCCTCTTGCCCCGTGCTAAGGCCTTCTGAACCCAATTTCGCCTCCGCAAATTGAGTCGCCTTAGTTCCTCCATCAAATGTTTCTCCGAGATAAGGTGCATGTGCCCAGAAGCTCCTTTCGTCTTTGGCACCATGCAAGATGAGTCCACTCCGTCAGAATGAAGGACCCATGGAACAACATGATTCTACTCTTGCCTCTGCAAGAGTTCATGTCCTTGACATCTGTCTAAGGAAAGCACTGTGCCTCCGCTCCATGTTCCAACTTCTATGCTGGCTCCCTTCATACGGCTTGGGTACTTCGCCAAGTTACACCCAAGTTGCTCCGCTCCTCGTTTTTGCATTGAGTCGATGGTGGCCCTCGCACCCACCATTCCATGGGTCAGCCCTCCCTTGAGTCTGATCTCCACATCGACTCCAAGTGTGCATTCATTTGAGTTGCTTTGGGTCGCTCCCCCACTTGATCTCGCAATGCATTCTCTCAAGCGAGATCATACGACGACTCCTCGCCGCTTGCTCAGTCCATTGAGCTTCGTGGAGTCGTTGTTTGTTGAGGTACTCCTCCTCAACATGTGAGGTCCGTCCCACATGATTCTCCCTCTGGAGAGTTGGGACTTATCCCTCTTGGATAACTGTCCAATTGGAGCAACATCTCTCTTCGTTTCGAAGACCACCATCCCCTTGGACTACTCCGATCTGCTGAACAAACTGTGCATTGTTCTGCATCCTACAAACGCATTTGCTAGATTGTGACTCCACGTCAATACAGCCCCCGTTGCACCACTCAAGGCCTAGTAATATGCTGAACTCGTTGCACACTTCAGCCTCCTACAGACGTATCCTTCACATGCCGAAGATAAAGTTTCAATGCTCCATGGCGCCGAGTTTCGGTCGCCTTGGGATGGCCGCGAACATTCCATCGTCCGCATACAAGCCCATGCATGAGTACCGAATTCTTTGAGTTAGCAATTCCCCTCACCTCTGTGAGCTTTGCATAACTCTTTCGATCGCTGAGCAACTCATTCCACCTTGCATGGTCTCATTCTTTACCAAGCACCTCGCTTGCCTTGAGTACCATCAAGTATAGTTGTCAACGTTGAGCCGTAGCTCAAACTCAGCCATCCCAACCTTTGTGCGCTCCGCATTCTTCCAAGCTTACCTGTTCTCGTGGTGCCTCTTACGCGAAGGGTTGGCCATTCCTCTGAATGCCAATGTCAGATGTCCGCTCCTTCGAGCGACTCCTTTTCCCTATATCTCCATGCCCGTTTTCCCTCAAACGGTCGCGCGTGTGCTGACTGCCCTCAACGCAGCCCCGCTAGGTCCCCCACGTTTGCATGCTAAGTGTTTGTATGAGTGCTTGTCCCGCTCTGATACTATCTGTCACGGACTTAGCTGGTTTTGCCTAAGTCGTGTGATACCCTTGCGTGTCCGTCCGCAAAGGTCAGCCTCCCCGAAGCCTCTAATTGTCCCTTAGGACCAACAAAAGAGAGAACGAGTTAGAGAGAACGCCTCAATCGGGATCTACAAGCAAACATCTCTGAAAAACACTTCATAGATAATGCAAATTACAAACAGATTTTACAAGCTCTGAATAGTTGCACAACAAAGGGTAAAATGATCCATTACAGATCGAAAATCTCTCACACGTGTCCACATTACACAACCTTTATTTACAAGCCTAAAGAGGCCACCAACCTAACTAAAATGAGACTATTAAGTCTTCGACCGCCTCTCTACATGCTGTACAAGGCATTAACATACCAAAAGATACGGACATACATAAGTATTACATCAAACATCTTGTTTAGAAATTTATCAGATAGAAGAAATCGGGACCCACAGGAGACTACCGCCACTGATCTATGCGACAAGAAGAACAGGGGCCCAACCGGAAGGAAACGCATTCCCCGCCAAGCCAAGAAAAGAGTTCAAACGCCTTTCTTGCTCTTCGCTCCGTGACATCGACGCGAACGGTGAGCCGATGAAAAGGGATAGGAGGCCAGATGACAACGATAGCGACGACGAAGGGGGAGCGTCGCCGGAGAAGAAGGCGAATCTGGAGGAAACACCTACGAGATCATTATCCGCAAGGTGAGCCGTATCGAGCACACACCGCCGAACCCCAAGCCCGTGCTCTCGTTTCCTCCCCGTTCTCGAGCGCATTGTGTCGTTCCGATAAGGGTTTTGATTCTCTTGTTTTACGAGGTGAAGATGTCGAATAAACGGAGGGTTTCTGTGAGGAAATGGAAGGCGGTGGCCGTGGTGTACTTCCGAGAATTGTACTTCAAGAAGGGCAAACCGCATCCGGGGATGAAAGGTTTCTACTAGTTCTTTAGTACTTCAAAGATTTTGCTTTGTTATTGTTGCTTTAGGGATTAAACATTCCTGGGTTTTTGCCTTTTCTGCATTCATGGGAGTTATGGCTAAAAGTTCGTTTTAATTTCCTTGATTCTTTAGTCTCGTGTCATTTTCTGCTCTAATCATGAATAGGGCCTCGTACAATTCTTGCAAGTTTTGGCTATGTAATTTTAGTATCGATTTTAGTCGTTAATTCAACGTGATGGATTGACCCGAACTGGCCCCTGTTTCTTTTAATCTTATCACATTTGAAATTTGATGATGGTCCACTTCAGGATGAGATCCGACCTGGAAATCCAAAATGGATTTCCCTGCTAGGATATCTGACCGGGATGCCCAACCAGGATGCTCGACTTGAGCCTACCGAGTCATTTAGCTTGTGGCGAATTCTTTCGAGTTCAACGAGTGTTCGATTGTCTGATCTTGATCTAGGTGTTTCCTACAAGGTCGGTGTAGGGGGAATATCCGATGAGACTCCTACAAAGCTCAAGTTAGTACTCGACTGTAGGGGAGAAAAGACCGAAGGGATCGAGGTTGGTTTAGAGTGTTGGAGCTCATTGCTGACCTAGAGAGGCCCGTATTTATAGTATTTGATCAGTGATTTTTGTTTGTCGCAGAAGATTAAACGCGTAAATGAAGATTAACCACATTCCCTGATAAGCTAACCATCTGTATGTAGTTATATGGGTTGATAAATCATTCGGGAAACCAAAATGTTAACAGAACTTCAGTAAACATTCATTATCTTGTTCAGTTTTGTGGTCGGAGAATAATATACAGAAAATGATAATTTAACAATCTACACTCATTCATTTGTGCTGAATTTTTATGAGTAGATAGATTTGTACACCTTTTAGTCGTCTGTCAGGAGTGGCATCAAAGAATGCCACCTTTTAGTCATCTCTTCTCCACTTTCACTTCTTTTCCCGAATTTCGCCAATTTACATCTACTATTACATTATTTGTTCCCTATGATGAGAACTCAAGAAATAGCCCTTTTGCTGTCAGCACTGTACTGCAGTAGTGATAGTTGTAAAATAAATGAAGAATGTGAACAAGACTATGATACATATCTTTCATAGAAAGTTCATGCCTTGGGCACTGGCTCCCTTTCTCAACCTTCACCTCATGAGTACTTATATTGATGTGCTTGCTCTATCATGGGATTTCAGTATTCATACGACATAGGTATCAGCTTGTTATAATTTGGCTAAATTGTCCTCTCAGTCCAGACTGGCATTTGATGCCTCTTTCAATTTAATTCTCTTTCTGTTCAACTTTCATCGTCAGTATCTTTCCCTGGAGCTCTTTTCTTCATATATTGGGTAGTTATTTCTCCTAAGCTTACTTGGTTCTGTATTATATTAGGTTTTGAACGGCAACAATCTAGCTTTACCTTTTGCATAGCATTGATTTAGGAGTGTTGTGTTTGTTCCTAGTTTGGTACTTTTCTTTATAATCTAGCAATTACCTAGTCATATTTATGAAAATCTACACTACCTTCTTTAATATTGTTGCCGTCCACTAGCAAATCATAATTCCAGCATGTAAGACTAATGCATGGGTACTTGAAATATGCACTCTTATTCATTCTCCTTTGTCTGGATCCCTTGAGTCTTAACTTTCTCCAGTCGGCTTCATATTCTTTATTGCAACAGCAAGATCTTAGTTAATGCAAAAATAACTTGACATGAAGAGATAAGTACAGTTGTGTATCGTGAAGATCATGATTGGCTTCTATAGGTGACAATGATGCAAACAAGGAGCCTTTTATTCTTCTCTATATTCAGATATGTCAAATTGGAAACAAGTTAAGATTACTAAATGATCTTAGAGACCACACTGTCGCCCATTATGAGCTTCTGCTGAATTGAATATTGTACTTGAATTATTGACATCTCAAAGTGATTTCTATATCTACTAAACCCTCTCTAGATTTTGTCCAAACATGGTGCAACTTTCTTCCTGTGTTGTTTAGTAGGAATATAGTTCTTTTATGCTATGATTCCAAATTTGCTAACAAAGGCTCATTGCTTTCCTTGTAGGCATATCACTGTCTGCAGACCAGGTACTCGTCACTACATTATTGTGGTGGTGCTTTTCATCATATCATGGTTTTACGTTCTGGATAATTCTCCAATGGTTTGTGAAGTTAAGCCATCTCAGGAGCTCAATGATCACATTCTCTCTTTTCATTTTTATGCCGTTCTAAAATTTTCTTGTAATTACACTGCAGAACTTTGATTGTGTGGTCTAATTTCTATTTTCATATTTTGCCAATCTCATTTTGATCTTTTCTTGTTCTTGTCAGATGAAGTGGAATACACTGTGAACTTGGGAATCTTTCCTGTTGCGAATTTTGATTTGTGGTGTAAATGCGAATATGGAACAACATTTGAAGTAAACACTGCTGAGACGAGCTATAATAATAGACTAACCCCATTTTGTGCAAAACTTGTCCATGAAGAGTCGTCCAAATCTTCATTTCGATGATTGACAAGTTAAACCATGAAATGATCGAGGGGAATCCATGGACAAATAAAGGTACCTATTCACATGTGATTGTGGAAGAAAAATCTTGTATGGTTGACAATTTCGATGGAAAATGATTTATCTGTTCTGTCTGTTGCAATTATTAGAGGCATCTGAAATTTCATATTTAGTCCAAAGAATTTACAAGGATGTTGATGTCTCATCACCATATCTGTGAGTCTAATTTGTGGAATCGAGTGTGCTCTTGCTTATCATTAACGAGTACAGGTTTTGTAGCTTCCATCATCGTTGAGCAGTTTGAGAGGCTGACAGTTGCTGAGCATCGAACCTCTCGTCCGCTATCTGCTTGATACAGGTAATCATCCTCGACACTTGGCCTTACCCATCGTTCTATTAGTCCTGCATATATGACATCCGTGATGATTCAATTTGATGTTTGCTTCAGACGATCGATCGAGTCTTGTTGATGGTTACTCTCTAACACAAGTATTTTAATGTCAGGTTTACAGATTGGATCCACTTTCATGAACTCACCAGATATATCGTCATCGGAGATCTATTTGATTCTCAAACAAGTATGGTTCGCATTTCTTTTTCTTTTTCCTTATCGTATGGCAACTTTCCTTATCCCAATTTCAGATCTAATCATGATTTTTGTTTTTTTCTTTTATCATATACATCCACGAACCCGCCCTTAGTAATTTTTCCGTACGTAAAAATCTATAATTGACTTCTCAATGTTGAGATTCATTATATTTCGCTTTTGGACAATCCTCACAACAACCAAGAATATCGGATTATTTAAAATACAAGAAATTGAAGATCCTGCATACATTAGATTTTTTGTTTCTAAGAAAATCTAATGTATGCAGATCCTTCTTCGGCTGTACCAGCAACATGAGAAAAGACAACCCTTGGATCCACGTCCTCGTGTGATCGAGCAATTCTATCAGTCATGATTCGAGTTCTTTGAGATGCAGGGCCAAGGATGGGAATCATGGCAAATGATGATGATGTTGACGTAACAACGCTTGCTCGGACCCCCCATCTCATACCTGCTTCTTTCTCTTGGAGCACAATGATTGCACTCTGCTTCCTCTGCGTTACCACGAGTCGATGGTTTCTACCCTTCAGATCTCGTGGCCATCCCGGCTTGTGTTTGAGAGATTCAACTGCCAATGCTGCTGGACTGAGCTTTCTTTGCAGTTAAGGCAGCGTTATCAGAGCCAGTGGTCATCATGGAAGAGAGTGCTAAGAAGAAGAAAGAAGAAAGAAAATGCAACAAGATGCAGCATCAGAGCTTCAAAGATTTAAAATCCAACCAGGAATCCGAACACTGGTGTTCGAACATAAAACAATCATCTCTCTCTCTATCTCTCTCTCTCTCTCTCTTATTAGTTCCTCGATCTTTGTTCGAGAACTTGGCATGTGAACGAGGTAAAGCCTCTCCGGCAACTGCTCGATGTTGCTGTATAATCAAACACGATTCAGAAGAACACATAAGTATAAACCCTATACAAAACACAACGATCAATCGAAGCTTGACGAGCGGCTCCATCTCCATTGCAGGTAGTTCTCCACGGAAGTGCTCACCGTCAGGGAATCAACCGTGTGATCCGTGCTGCTGACTGAGATCGAGTCATCCTCCACATCGAGCAATGCAAGATTAAGATGTGATCGGATGTCGGATTCCAGGTTCGGCATTTCATCATCCAACACATCAGCCCGAGTGGTAACTTCTGACCTTGCCCACTTAACAGTATCATCATCTCCTTGGAGTAGTTTCAGTACCTGTCATAAGAAAAAGTTTTGATTGCTCGATTTCAATAAGTGAATTCACAGTATTTGCCAATAATAACTGTTTAAGTAGCTTCGATATTAACTAGCTGAAGTATGTTGCCAAGTCCAAGCTACCCCTTAAAATTTGTGATACCTTAGATATTCCATGGTTACACTAGGACTTAGCATGAAGATGCATATATAATGAATCATAAGCAGGCGGGATATGAGATCATACAATGCTCATTGAAGGTCGTGCACGATGAAGCCTCCTTACACACAGGGAAGCAGCTAAGATCATCCTTTCCACTTGATCACTATTGAAGTCATTCTTTAAGGCTGGATCTATAAGCTGCTTAACGTCTTCGTCTTGTAAGATTGGCTTTGCCTGCAGTTACATGGGGTACAAGAATAAGGACAAAGTGTTGGAAGTTCCTCCGCAAAGATCTGCTAACGACAGACATGCTCAACAAAACCCTAACTAGTTGTTCAGATCTTTAGGTAGATACTGAGTATTTCCTATTGCGTTGAGTCTGAATCTAGATACAGGAAATAAAACCGATGGCGGACTCACCCACATGACAAGGCTCTCCTGGCCCTTGGGACAACCAGAGCTGATGGGCTTCCTTCCTGAAAGAAGCTCGAGAAGCACCACACCAAAAGCGTAGATGTCAATCTTTTCATTAACTTTCCCATACAAGATGTACTCAGGAGCTAAGTAACTGTCATCAAAAGTGCATAGATTAGAACATTGATCCAAAGATAAATCAATGTAGTATTGGTACACAAACAACACAGACCCAAAAGTCCCTGCAACATCACTGCAAACGGGTTGCGATGTTGTTGCTGATGCCCATTTTGCCAATCCGAAGTCCGACAACTGAATAAAGAAAAAGAAATAACAATGTGATATGCGTGCATAAAAGGAGAGTTAAAACACACAATTTATTGTGAAAGACACAACACCTGTGGCTCAAAATTCTCGGAGAGAAGGATGTTTGAGGATTTCACATCTCTATGGATCACAGGCTCAATAGTACCACCCCCATGTAAATAATCCAGTGCCTCTGAGACGCCTATTGCTACCTTGTATCTCTCAGGCCAACTGAGAACATGCTTGTTCTCTTCTTTATCTAACATATCAATAATTGGACAGATACATCATTTTAGAGAAATCTAAGCAAATAAAAAGCAAAAATAAGAAGCAATTCATGGGTGTAAAATGCATACCATGGAGGATTTCTTCTAAGTTACCCTGTGATACATACTCATAGACCAACATCAGACTATTGTTCTCCATGCAAAATCCAAGCAATGGGATAATGTTTTTGTGACGCAAGGTGGTAATAATCTCAATCTCCGAAACAAACTCTTTTACTGCAACTTCAGAAGGCTTCAAGATTTTCACAGCCAATTCCTTGCCATCCGAAAGGTAGCCCTTATAAACACTGCTACTGCCACCATTCCCAATTAGATTCTCTGCATCACAGATTCAACCAGCATCAGAGATGTTCATAAACTATAAGCTATATGCATGACAAGTTTTGGTAAATGACCAGGTAAGAAGCTGGATGTTGCTTGGATCAGTTCGTCGTAGCTGAATAATCTACAAACGGATGAATACTTTTGTTGAAGAGGCACCAACTCCTCTGGAAGCCTTTCTTCTGCATCATTGACAAGAAACGGGGGTGGTGGCAGACTGGCTCCAACCGGAACAATGGCACAGCTCTCTCCATCTTGGCCGAGTGTCATATGTTTTCCATCTGATTTCTTGGACTTGTGATCTGGATGCATAGATTGGTGTCGGTTCGGAAGCCACTTCACCCACTGGACCACAGAGATCTTATGCTTCTCAGAGGAGACACTCTTCCTGTTGGTCAAGGCCAGTCTTCTAAGAGAAGGCCAACCATGTCGAGCTTCTGGTAGATCCTTGCCCACAATTGGCACAGAGCTGCTCAGTGGAGCTTCAGTTTTCCCCGCTGGAGCCAAGGCCAAAGAGTCCTCATCCTTCGCCGCATTCAGGGAAGCAGGATCAGATTCAGGTACACAGATTGAGCAGTTATCCCTCGGTGCGCCATCGATGGTGTTTGGGTCGTTCCCGACAGGGGAATTGCTACAGCCAGTCGACTCATCTTCTGGCACAAGCGAAGGCCTGCAGGCTGTGTCATGCAACCTCTTCGGGCCTGCAATCGGCAACAAGCAGTACATCTCGTTGTTCCCGTCAATCTTAGTTGACTCCTTGCTCGACTTCTCCTGAGATTTGTTGTTCTCTGTCAACAGTATCGAGCTCCAAAGATTACAAGTGAAAACAGAGAACATAAAGCAGAACAAAAAGGTCACTGGCGACGAACCAACCTGCTGATGCTCTCTGGAAAACGATCTTGCCGTCGCTCAACGCGACCACCGAGCAATAGCTTGGTAGCTTCTTGGCGCAGTACTTGGCTACAGAGATCGAATACGACCTGAAAGAGGTCGATAAATATTTCGGCACAAAGGAGACGATGACAGAGAACTCATAGGAAGCACCGACTCACCCCATGGTGCGGTTGTTCTTGGTCACCCCAAGAATGAGTTGTGACGCAGCGAAAGATTTCGTCTCGCTGACAAGAAGCTTGCGGATGGACGAGCCCTTGCAAATTTTCAGCTTTAGGTCGATCTGCCCAAGAAATCGATGAGGAACAGAAACCACTGGGGTCGAAAAGGGGCGATTTTGAGCATAAAGATCGGATTTTGAGGTCGAGGGGCGGAGACCTGCTTTAGGTTGCAGAAGCCCTCGTAGACGGCGAGCATGGCGTCGAGTTCCTTGGCGAGAGAGAACACGGCGGCGGGCTGGCCACCGGGATCTACGGCCGGTGGCGGCCCGCCGGCGGAGGAGGACGAGGAGAGGACGTGGAGGGCGAGGACGCGGTCACCGGGGGCGGTGGCCTTGACGAGCGCCCACGTAAGGAGTTCTCGGCTCTGCGAGTCCATCCTGATGCCCACCACCACCGTCTTCCCTTCTCCTCCCTCCCCGGTCTTCTCTTTCGGCTCCTCCTCCACAAAGGCCTCATCTTTTTTGCTGCTCCCCCTCCTCCTCCTCCTCTTCTTCTGAGCAGCTTCTCCTTCTTTAGCCATCTTCATGCCTTAAGTCTTCTGCAGCCTCCTCTTCTCTGCCGCTGCTGATCCCTCTCTCCTTCCTCTCCGCAAATCTCTGTCTTCTTGTTTCCCTGTTCTCATCATGCAGCGGGACAGAGTGAGAGAGGGCAAAGCTTCAACGCTCCTTTTACCTGCGGTCTCTGATGGGGCCTCTTCGCTTTCCTGCACTGCCCGTGGCCCTCTCTGCCATGGCTCGGGGCGGTGTGCAGCGGCGGCACAAAATGGCAAAGACCTGAGACAGGTATTTTGTTCCCAAACACACATCGAAGTATATGTTGGACCGAACATTGAATACATACTTGTCTCTCTGTAGGTAACCAAAATACCTGTCGGAAAAGACTAATTTTAAGTGTTTATATATTTATATATATATATATATACATATCTATATATATGTTAGAAAATCCTCTATCTTGTGTAAATCATAGAAGAATCAATAGAATTGGTAGATGAATCAAAGTAAATATACTTTGGGGAATGACTTTTACAACCATGAAAAGAAAAGGTAAAATATTGAAAATAAAAAAACAATAATATGGATATTATAATGATATTTATATTAAATTACTATCTTTAAACAGTACATGATTTATTCTACTTTTTTGACTTTTTCTCTTTCTATCTTCCTCATTTGGATGAGCAATTCTAGATGAAGGCTTTGAACAAGTTGTACTCTTCATGTTGTAAGAGCAACATGGAAGGTTGAATGGGATAAGAAACGGAAGACTTCCTCGTCTTCCAAGTCATTAAATTGGTCAACCATTTCCACCTTCAAGTGGGCAATTAGAAGAATGGAACATTAATGGCAATGGTCAATATGTGCTTTGAAGAACCATTTGGCGCTTCTTAAACTAAATTGAGTCTTTGCCAATGGCTGCCTTTTGCCTTACTTTTGGGTAATTTGGATCCAAATATGTACCATAAAAATAAGTTTAGGTTTCTTCATTGACAAATTACTATTATGTTTTTCAATTTCTTTAGGTTCTCAGGTTATTTTTGTTTCAGAAAAAAGAAAAAAAAATCAGACTTACTCAATTTTACTTTTTATTATTTTTTTTTTGTGTTTTTTCATTGTTTTATTTTAAAATTAAATTTAAAAAAAAAATAGACTCTTAAAAGTTGAAACTACACCACCCACTAAAATTATTCTTGAAACAATCAATTGGAATTAAAAATAAGTGCATCTTATTTTTATAAACATCGAAAACAAAAATAAAAAATTAAAATAACTAACTCAAGAAAAGCTCAAAGATTGAATGAAGTACATCTCCTTAGGTGATCCATGTCAATTATTGAGTTCATACTCCCCCATAGGACAAGGAGAAGGCATATGTTTCCTTCCTCTTTTATACATACATACATGTATACATACATACATACATATATATATATTATTTATTTATTTATTTATTTGTGATGCCAAATCATGTCGATTGATCTCAATCTATGTAGGCACGATTTTTATAGCACATGGATCTTAGTAGCAAGAGTTGAACGTGAGGAGAGGAGGCGGGTCTTAAACTATTATGACATGTGAGATTGTGTTTATGACTTCTTCCATGCTCTCATATTTTATTATTTCTTTGTCGATTCCATATTTCTCTACTTTATCATTTGCATTTTTAATTTATGTTTCCTAAACCCCAATACATGCCAACGAGTCTTTATCATTTGCATTTTTAATTTATGTTTTCTAAAAGAGTTGGAAGTCCCAAAATTTTGTCTCGCTACAAACCCTAATATTCATAGAGAGAGTGTTTAACTTTTAATTAATAAATATTAGTCAAATTACATATATGGATTCCTCAAATATATATATTCCTTTGGCATGTATTGTTTCAAAACCTAAAAACTACTGTACATCTGAATTAATCTTCCGAATAATTATTATTTTTAAGACTCGTCATATTAAGAATATCGAGAGAATCTTAAACATATTGATTTTTATTTTATTAATTTAGACTAACTAACTAGTAATAATGATGGTTAAATGGAATGGAATGGAATGGGTTACATGGTTTATCTTAATATTTGAAGTTGTATATAATTTATATTTAATTTTTTGTAAGGCGAAATATGTTATTTGCAAACTTTTATATAAGGACAAAAAAAAATCATATATATATATATATATATATATATATATATATATATATATATATATATATATATATATATACAAAAAAAAAATTGTGGGTTTACTTTTACTCAATAGTTAATACTAATAAATAACCCATTCAAATTAGTGATTCGTTTGTGAAATATAATGAAGTGATATTTTTATTTTAGGGTAAATTTTCTAGAAAAATATCTTGTTTTTATAAATTTTAAGTTAGCGTCATTTTTTTCATCTATTCTCATTGAAAAAATGATATTATCCTTAGTCTCTACCTCATTAGTCGTCTCCCTCTTTTTCTCTATCATCAGCTACAAGAATTTGTTGTCGCTTACTAGCGACCTTGGCATCACCCATTATGGTGGGTGGTTGCGTGTCGTGTCCCTATCTCGCTTGCACACTATTACTTATATCATTGTCCTCACCCACATATACTCACCCTCATTGTTATTATTATAGATTCTAACATAAGTTCTTGTGACTACTATCATATATGTATAACTGACACGAACAAATATGCTACCTGTGGAGTAGTTGGTTTTGGCTCACTCTTACCTCTGTTATCGTCATGTTGTCATAAGATGTTCGACGATTATATCTATGCGTGACTAGAGCGAATGCAATCCAACGAAAGAACGATGAAACCTTATGACAAATAATATTTAGAGGCAAAGATAAAACTTCACGATGAATGATAATGAGGGGCAAAAGCCGAATGTCAGAAATAATATTATCTTAAAAAATATTATAAAAAATAAATAAATAAGAGGATCCAGAATTTATAAAAATAATATTTATGGAAAGACAAAAAATAGAGAAGACTTTATATTATGTTTTTAGGACTGTCTATGCGTAGGCTAATTATTTCTGTAGTGGGGACTTCTTCAACATACTGCCTTTGTTTGCCTTTCCAATGTCACATCATAACACCACAAATAGTACTGCTTCCAAAGTCGAAGAAGCATATCTGGAAATGCTCGTCTGGTAGCCTGACGGACATACAAACAGTGAAACACTGAATACCTCCTTTTTATTTCTTGGAGACTTGTGTGTCTCCAAAGTATTGCTTGCTAGCTTTTGTTTCAGAGCAACCTACTTTTTATCCTTCGATCGTTCATCATTCTTGAGGAATAACGAAGCTGATTGCCATGCTAAAACAAAGATTGCATCTGCCAAAGATGTGAACATATCCTTAGTAGCCATTAGCCTTTTTTGACTATGAGCCCCACCTGTTAAAGTGCATGTTCTTGATCAGTAGACCCTGCAATCCTTGGATTCCTCCTTCCAATGCTAGCTTTAGATCACTGCAAAAATCCTTGCCTCACATGTTCACCATTAATCAATAACATTCACTTTGTTTCTTCTTCTCTCTCTCTCTCTCTCTTTTATATATATATATTCTTGAACAAGCATAAAGAAAGAATGAAGGAAGAAAATGAAGAAATGAATACACTTAATGATCATCATAAAAGAGCTTTGGCTTGTGGGTTGACATCAGGAAAAAGAGGTGGTTTGGGATAACACCACTTTTCATCTACTACATGCTCTGCAATCTTCATGGAGTCACAGAGGTTGTCACTCCCTTAATCATCATCTTATATGTCTTATTCTTTTTGTCATCATAGCCTGAGTAGGTAGTCATCGAGTTGTAATCATCTTTAAGTGGATAGTTGTTGAATCTTATCTCCCCAAATTCATTAAAAGAACATGGTTGCTGAGAATCTAAATCTAAATAGCATGCAATCTAAAAAGTTTTAAATTATAGATCAAACTCAATATATATTATCCGATTGTTTCAATCTTCATTTCACAACATTAAAAGTATAATAAATAATAGGTTATTTTAAAAATATTTATATTTATTCTTTAATTATATTCGGTATAGATTAAGCTTAGCGAGCAAAAAAATAATAATAATAAAATAAAATTTATGAAAAACCTATCCATCATTATTCGATGATACGAGATTCGGATATTTGATATTTGATGAATTTAAATAGGGTATAAATATGTACCGGAGTTAATTAAATAGATTTAAATTTAAATAAAATCAACATTATTACTATTGTTATTATTATTTGTGATACTGCCGACTAATAATGCGAGTGTATATTTGTCAAACTAAAAATTCAATAAAGCGAAATTTATGAGGACACCTACCCATCGTTTTCTGATGTGATTGGGAGGGCTCCGATGTTGAATATTCTAATACGTACGAGTCAACTTCGGATTTGGAATTGAATGCTATGTAATTAAACGGATTTTAATGTTAATGAAATTAATATTGAATATAATTACTATTATTTTCTTGTTCTGCCTATTAAAGCTGTGAGTGTCTGTCTACTTATCATCACATCAAAACTTGCGTCTGCCGACGAAATCCAACAGTGACTGCTGTACTCGTTTTGTTTCTTTGTTGGCCACCCAAACAATGCCACATGCAACCAAAGACGAAGAAGATTCATAGCGTGGAGTTATGAGGTCACCACACACACTCTTCAGTCTGTGGCTTGTGGCCATCTTTCTATGTCCCATCATACATTCATAATGCTATTAATGACTGTTTGATTTGCACTACTCATGTCTACGTCTTAGTTTATGATTGACGTGATAGTTACTAAAGAGACTGGTGATCTAATAGTTGCAATCCCAACGTTACGTGGCATGATTTCACGAGATTGAGCAGCCTTCACCTACTACTGTATATGTGGTGGTGTTTGCACTTAAATAAGATGAATTCCACATAATTAACTCTTTTTTTCTTTCTTGGCTTGCTTGAATTAGGTGGTGGTTGGCAATTATAGCGTGATGATGCGTTTTGCTCCACCAACTTATTAAGATAAGTCGTATTATTATGTGCTAAAATATTAAGATAATAAAATAATAAATTAAAAGAATGGTTATATATTGTTAATAAGTAAGAGGGTCGGATGATGCAATAAATTTGGTTCATAATAAAATTATTTAGGATTTAGGATTGTGTCGATGTGGTGTCGGTGTGATAAAAATAGTAAAAAAATAAGATAAGATGAGCTAAGAGAGTAGGGTTAGAGTAAGACAAGTTATTCAAGTGAGTTTCATGGATTAAATAACTTTTGTGAATTTGTGATTTAACTGAATGAATATGCGTTATAATTAGACGTGAACGAACTATTATATAGATTTTTTTAAAAAGAAACAAAATTATTTGCTTAAAATTTTATTATAACCAATAATATGTTGTTAAAAGAAGAGTAGAGAGCATAGGCCGTCCGACCAATGCTAATTCCAAAAACCTATAACCTTATTTCATGTAGCAAAATTAGTCAATAAATTTTGTAAATACATGCATAATAAAATATTCAATAAATTTTGTATTAAGTTCAAATCAACTTCTATGGAGATTTATTTTTTCTCTCAAAAATCTTAACGATCAATTGCAATTATTAGTTTAGTAATTTCTTCCGTTAAGACACATTTATTATAGTTACATCCTTCGTTCTCTTCAAAAATGTACCCTATAAGTAAATAAGTAGCCTTAGTATTCCTAAGAAAAAACTCTCACTCCCTTCTTTATATTCATATGCTAATGAGTCATCAATATTAAGTTTAATTCAATCATCATTAGGAGAAAGCCATCTTATTATTATGATTTGACAATTCTACAAAAGTTACCTCTGACTCAAAGTACTATTATTCAAAGCTATACAATGCACTTATATACCACTTACAGGAGAAGATTTTTGCTTTTTGGAATTCATAATATTCGGGTCTTGTAGATCAAATAGAAATAATATAAAATTAAGTCTCTAAGAATCATAGCACCCTACTTGGTTAGATCATATCTCTCTCTCTCTCTCTCTCTCTCTCTCTCTCTCTCTTAGCCTATCGGTATCATTATATTGATCATAACACCTTGTTTGGTAACTACCTTATAGAGTTATAAAGATACAAATGAATTTAAATCGTTAGTAATAGAAGAAGATGATCCACCGACACACTCATGTCTGAGATGAGAAAACTTAGATGAAGAAATAAATAATTTTAAATTTTATATATATATATATATATATATATATATATATATATATATATACACACATAAAAGATTATGTAGCACAGAACAAACAAAGAGAGTAAACCTAAAGGAGGTGTTTGGTGGAGAGAGAGAGAGAGAGAGAGAGAGAGTCAATGTGCTTGTTATGTCGATCTTTGGAGTTATCATTGGACATGGAGGACCACGTCCGTGCATCAATTATGAGATGCAGCATAAATGTTCCATCAAAGTTCTCTTCTCCAAATTAGCAGATGGACCAACAAATGGCATTGCATGCATTTGGAGTCATCAATAGAGTTGCAGTGTCCATTTGCTCCAGACCAAGACATTCTTCATGGAAGCAACATATATCATCTACTGCTTCCAATATGCCTTCAGTGGCAGCATTTGGACTTACACTTGTTGGTTCATAGCCACAGCAATCCTATTCCACAACAGCACCTCTCTCTCTCTCTCTCTCTCTCTCTCTCTCTCTCTCTCTCTCTCTCTCTCTCTCCTTCTTGCACTAAAGGCTGAAGAATGTCTTCGCATAGTTGCTGTTTGGCATATGGAAACGAGCTTCCCCTTCATAGTCACAGCTCTTCTCATGGTGATTCATGCAGGCTAACCTTCATTCACACTTTTACTATTTGGTATAAACAAGTGCAGCAATTATCAGATGATATGAGAGCATATATAGTCAAGTAGTTTGCGCAGGAAATATAAAGTTGCATATTTGAGCTGCTGATATGGTCTTAAATTATCTGTCATTACCATTATTTGCATATGTAGAACATGAGATGACTTATAGAATATAAGGAAATCACGAGTCTTTAGCAGGAAGGATGGACGAGGAAGAAAGTGGAGAAGATGAGCTGTGTCACTGAACTCCCACCTACAACCATGTGGAGTTTCCTTTCAGAATCTGATGCTCTGAGAAAAGCTCTGAGATTCCTCCTCCTCCTCCTCCTTCTCATCATCATCATCTTCCATTCTCTGCTGCTCCATCCAATCAAGAACAGTATTGTTTGCATGTGGACACCATCATCAATATAGAAGAAAGCACTCTCATTACATTAAGCCTCATCTACTCCCAAGTGATGGGGCACGTGGTTGTGCGCTATGCACATTGAATCCTTTTTACTTCTTCACATGGACTTGTAATAACAACAATAATAGCTCCAGTATTATTTGGAGATGATTGATAGACTAAATGACTGGCTTTAAGGTTCACCCAATGGGCCATGCAGGCTGATTTCTATGAATCTATGCCATAGATACTGAGCTTACTCTTTTCTTCTTCTTCTTCTTCTTTTTTTCTCAATCAAAAGGGAACTTCCTTACTCGACCATTCAAAGTATACCTGACAGCTCTTCGATCATCACCATCCGCCATAATTGTCGAGTGCGCTGTGCATGGCCCGCCCCCACAGCCCAGTATTGCATCGTCTTTAGATTTGATAACATAATCCAATCCTGCATTATAAAAGATTCATCAGTTTCAAGAATAAGTCGCTATATATCTCTTGGGGTGCCTTCTCCCCATCAGTTGTCTACCGATTCCCCTCCGGCAAATCCCAACGAGAGAAGTACTCTCTAGAATGGGACCAAACAGAAGAAAGACAAAATTTCACTCAGACGATCGCTATGTTTGGCCTCGTTGCAGCTTACCCTAAGAAACCAAAAACCAAAAGCAACAATGGTCTCTAACGAAGTTAGTCGCCACTCAACCAAGAATCCATAAATCGAAAGGAGATAGAGAGTTGCTGCTGAACAAGGTTCCAAAACTCACAAGCAAGCCAGCAGTCCAAATAGATATATGTTTAGGAGAATCGTCAAACAAGTATAGATGACACACGAGTTGAGTTGAAAATGAAACAAGTGTGATAACTAGCTAGAAGTGAGCAGTTTATTCCAACTTGAACTTCCAGAGAAATGTTTTCACCCTAGGAGTCACCCTCAAGTGCCAAAGAGCCTTCCAACCAAGCCACTCTTCCTCTCCATTGAGCTGCAAGAAGGACAAAGCATTGAAAACATCTTTGATCATTAGCACTCATTCGGGGTTCTCAGCCTGTTCTCAGCCTAGATATGTCATCATTAGGGATAGCATATAAGTAAATACCCTCAACATAATCCCTCAAAGCTAGGCCGAAGAGCAGTGTATTTCTATTCTCATTTCAATTCCTACTAGAGATAAGTTCGTCCATATAAGTATGGTCTGTGATTTGCTCTATATTCACAAAGGTAGGCCAAAAGCTTAAGGGGGTGTTACTAATCGATAGATCCAACCAAATCAAAACTTTAGCGATATCACTTACTGAGATCCTAAATACTTTCCGATTATTTTTAGGAGATTATGGATATTTCTAATGGCCCAATAAGACCTATCACTCCTAAGGTAAATTCATGGGTGAGGAGACGCATACTTAACTGGTATAACTTTCACTTGTAAGTTATTCTCTCCGTCAAGAAGTGGAAGAAGCCTTCTTGTACAAATGTATCTCTTAATCAAAGAGATATTCCTGACTCCTAGACCAACTTGCTCATTGACATATTATATCCAAACTGAGGAGATGAAGCCTTTTGGAAGATAACTTTTCTTCCCATAAGAAAGTCCCTAGTTAATTTAGACATACAGTTTAAGAATTATTTTAAGAAATGATTGTTCAGTAACATATAAGTAGGAAGAGCATTTAGGATAATTTTAATTAGCATTAACTGATCAAACCGGGACAAGAAATTTTTATACCAACCCTGAATTCTTTCTAAAGCCTTATTAGCCATAAGCATTTGAAAACGTTCTACAAGTTTGGTACTTGAAAGGCCACTCCCTTAATCTCAAGAGCATTGCTAAATAACCTCATGTGTGATTCTAGGGGGGTAATATTCAAAAAGTAAATATTTAACTTTGACAACATTAACTCATATTTTTGTCAATACCTCAAAAACTTTCAACACTCTTAAGACAGATTTGTAAGAGGAAGCATTAGCTCTAAAGCACAAATCGAGATCATTAGTAAAAAGGAAGTAATATATCTTAACACCTTTCAAATTAAATGGGATGATTTATTTCATTGAGATAGCTTACGAAATCAGACAAAATATGATCTACTGAATAAGGATAAACAAGTAGGGGGAGATCGAGTCCCTTTGCCTGATACTCCTCTTACTCCTGAACAAGTGGACCTTCTACCATTAATCAAGCATGCAAAGTGAAAGGAGAAAAGACAAGCCACCATCCACTCAATAAATCTATTGAAAAAATTCATCTTCCTTAGGATATACTTAATAATCAAGACATTAAGCTTTTTCAATGTCCAACTTTAAAAAGACAAAGGGCTTTTCCACAAGAATAAATCATAATATGAATGAGCTCATTAATAATTATGATGGCATTAATATTCCTTCCATGAATGAAGGCAAATTACTTGTGATTGATTAATGAGTTAAGGAAATCTTTTAATCTATTAGTAAGGATATGGGTAAGAATCTTATAAAGGATATTATAAATAGGGATTGGTATGAAGTCTTTAACCTTACATTTGGATTCTTAAGTATAAACATAAGATAAGTGTTGGGAAAAATATGTTGAAGTGGAATAATTCTTTTCCCTCTTTGTGTATCAAAATGAGTTCCTCATTAAAATATTAACTTGATATCAAAATGTAAATATTAACCAACATAGCATAAATAATAGAGCAATTAATCAATCATACAGTGAGACTAAATCTTTTAACGTAGAAAATCCAATGTGGGAAAAACCACAGGATCGTAGTCCACCTCAAACTTCCACTATCAATAATAATGATAACAGGTTTATAGTAAATCTTTTCTAGAATGACTAGAGGATCATAATAACATCAAAAACATAAATCTTGGCTCTAGCATATCATCATATATGATGGATCTCCTTAAAAGAAAATTCTAGGTCTCACAAAGTGGGTATAGCAAGAAAGTATCTTAGAGAGAGTAAAATGTAGATCAACACCGTTATGATTGTAGAGTTTGCTGCAAGAATTCTCCACATAAAATTTGGGCCAAAACTGACAACGTTTGGCCACCGATCGTCAAGTAGAAAACTCAAAAACCTAATCTTTCTTTCTCTTTTGTTGTATGCTGTCGCCGTTCACTACACTATTTTCTCTCTCTTATTTGCTGCCCTCAACTATTTTATCTTTTAATTAATAATTTGATTTGGGCTTCAAATGCCTAATTGTCCAAGCCCACATATGGGCTGGACCCAACAATAGGTTTGCTCTCAACTAGGGAAAAGGGTAGCTGAGATATGAAACAAGTTTAGGGCTTTAAGAACTAAAGTATTAACTTGATCTAGTGAACATAAAAGTCTATATTAAAGCCATTTGGACCGATCTCTTACCCTTACCCATTTACTTAAAAGTCATAGTAGCATCTTTAAGGAGAATATCTTACACAACTGCTTATAAGTAGCCATGAGAATAATTGAGAGACGCAAGTTAGCAAGCTACTAAAAGAGATTGGCTGATTGTTCCAAGGAGAAATGTAGCAATTCATAAAGGCTCCTAGAATGGCTTCAATTTTGAAAACTTTAATGCTTTAAGGGGACTTAATAACCATAATTTGGTTCCTTCACTGATAAGGCTTCCTAAATTCATCAGGAATATTGGGTTCTTCTCTTCTTGCAAGTGTCTCAAGTAAGATCACTAAATCTAGATTACATATTCTAATGAAAATAGACAAAACATCTTTATACTCTCTTTTAACAACTCTTTTATAGTTTCAAATGATGTGATTTATAGGGAATTACTCTCTGCTAGCTCCCCTCCTGTTCATCAACCTTGGACCTCTTAGACCTCTCAATCTTTATAGCATTTATTCTCTTTTTCTTATGCTTGTGTTTGATGGGGTTGAAGAGAAGGTAAGGTGCTGCCCTATTAAAACTTCCTTCTTGAAAAAACAAGTGGAGCACTAGGTAGATTAAGTATTTAGTATCATCCCTCTCCTCTAGCATAATCAAAAATTACTTTCTTAAATAATGTTAAAAGCTTCTCCATTAGCTACTCAAAGGATAGAGCTCCTCTTACTGACTTAATCGATTTGTTGATCATCTATTCGTCCTCAGCCGTTGGTCCTACAGAGAAAAAGAATTCTGAGGGAATGGAAGGGGTATTAGATTTCTTCATCTTTATCTCCTTAAATATTAGCATTGTAAATGAATTGAAAATCTCCAAGGGGTATCGAATTTTCTCCCCAAGCAAGCCTTCATAAGTTGAGTAGGCATATTCGTAGACCCAACAATAGTCGGTCGAGGTTACCTAACCCTAGGGTCATTTCCAATGGATCCTTAGCAAGAGGACTTATTGTACTAGTACTAGAACAACTACTAGGTGTCTTAAATATGACAAGTAATCCTTATATGTCTCATAAAATGGGTTACAAAAGGGGTTACCACAGCTTTATGAGAGCTCGACTCCATTTTAGGTACAACACCTTATTGAGTCAACTCGGTTGCTATCAGTCTCCCTTATAACTTAGTCTAGATTAGAAGGATTGGCCTTAGAGCCTTAAGACTTAGGTTTGCTTAGTTGCACTTGCTTTCCCCTAGGTGTCACCCAAATCCAAGGCCCATAGATAAGGTTATATTCCTCATTGGAATTGCTCCAAAGCCTTAGTAGGGCCTTCTTAGTTTTGCACCTTACCTCCATCTCTTTTAATGGGACACATTCATCGATATGGTAACCTATTCTATCACAAGTAAAATAAATATATGGTTTCTTCTTAAAAGTTATAGATTGAAAAAATTAAAATTTATCAATCTTAACCCACATCCTTTGTGTGAGTGGTTTAGAAGGATATAAGAGACACACTTGAGCAAACTTGACTCGAGTCTTAGATAAGATAATTTGGTTTACCTTCAAGGGTTTGTCATTTTGAACACTAACATACTTAGGAATTTTGGAAGAAGGAGTTCAATAGAAAGACTTGAAAATTGAATCAGGGACTATTTCATGTAGTGCTTGAATATCATACACATTGAATTACAACTAGTATGTCAATAGAAATAAAAATAATATGTATACATTACGCTCGTTTAGTGATATAATTTATGATATCTATGCTTCATTAATATGATAAATGATCTACTTATATTTTTGACTTTTAAATTTAAAGTGGATGCTTCTCAAAATATATTATTTATAATATTCTATAAAATTTTGATTAAGCATGTACATCACTGTCAACTTTAAGCATATTTTATAATAAGAAATCATAGTCCTTTAGGAACAATAAGATAACTTAAATATGAGATTAAGTTATAATATATATATATATAATGATTAAAAGTGATGATTAAATTTTAATCGGCCTTTAATGACTTGAATGAGTTTGACCATAATTAAAATAGAAAAGTTTGAGTTTTAAATATCATATATATGAAGGATAATAAATTACTTAGGCATGGATAAAGTAATAAAAATATAAATTAAAGAAAAATATTATGCTAAAAAAGTTGAGATACATAAAGAAGATTGAAGGATAAGCTTAGACAAAAATATTATCTTTATAAATCAAATTAGACTCAATTAAAGTTGCTATAATCTTATAATTATATTAGTAAGAAAAACTTAAAATAAGATCTAATGAGATTCAACCCACCCTAGACTTTATAATAATCTCGTAAGCATTTCTATCTTATTTTATCCTCATCCTATTTACTAACTTGATAACTCATAACCTTTTCTCTTATTCTTTAGTTATTCTCTTAGTTTTTCTTATGCATGTTAGGAAACCCCAAAAAGGCTAAGATAAAAAAAATCCAATTCTTTCTTTAATATAACTAGGTATTTAGTTTTATAGATTATAGATTGATAGACTTCAAATTTATATTTAATATTTAGATATATTTTATATAAATCTCTTATAATTTTAAGGTTTCTAATATAATTTTAATATGCATAGAGTTATGAGTTCCTCAATTTGTCTTTTTCGAGAAATTATCTATTGGAGCTGAATTGATCCCCTTAAAGATATGATTAGATTCTATCCTTTTGATGCCTTAAAAGGTTCTTTTAGAGTTCTATAAAATTTATAATTGAGTACATATTAATTTTGTGCACAAAGATATGTGGTTTGTAAATTTAGATAACACCAACCCAATTTTAGTATAATAGAATAAATATCATTCGTTGAATTAGGAGGATAGTTTAGCTTCTAAATAATTTTATTTTAAGCTAAAAATTAGTATGTATTTAGTTATATATGTATCCTAGTTTTTTTATAAAATTTTATGATAATTCAATATCATTAGATCAGTTAAAAAAGTGAAGTAAAATTTATTTACACGATTGTGCAATGGTTTAAGTAATGCTAACTAGTTCATTTATTTATATAATGAATTGTTAAAAAATTGATCGTAAAATTTAGATGAATTAACTATAGTCTATTTTTTAAATAATTTTATCATATTTTTTATAAATTATTATAAATCAATAATTTAATATATATGATTTTTAATTAAGATATCTTATAATCTGTGCCCCTAATTTAATAGGTATACTACTCTCTAGCACACTAGATCACAAAGGAATATGATACATCATTATTTTTGAGTTAAATTAAATAAGTATACATTTAATTCACTATAAAATAGTGATCAAATAAATTATCGTATTCATAATACATTTTAGAAAGCATGTTTCCAATGATATGATTATCATAAACTTGGCATAAGCTAAATATGAATATAGATATCTTATAAACATAAAATATATTAATTATGTTAAAAACATCTTGTATGCATGCATATATAATTAAATGCATATATTTTCTATAACATGTGATGTGGAAGTGTACAGATATATTATGACATGCAATACATGTATATGTTATGATGTGCAATATGAAAGTATATATATATATATATATATATATATATATATATATATATATATATATATATATATA